GGCAGGTGACCCTGTTCATTGTAGCATTAACGTATGTACATGGAAGAAATGAATATCCAGATTTAAAATCATTTGCACAGATTTAGGTCTCTTTTCTACCTCCTGATATTTATGAGCTTATCCTTTCCATTTCCTCCTATTTGAAGCAGGACCTCATGTCTCAGGTAGCCAGCCGTAAACTCACTACATGGCTGAGGATGGCTTTGTACTACTGATCTGCCAGCCTCCACCTTTTAAATGCTCAGATGACGTGAGCGCCTCCATACTTGGATTATGGGGTGCATGGGATGGAACTCTGGGTTTTGCACATGTGCGGCTAGCACTCTGCCAGCTGAGCCCCATCCCCATCACCTCTGGAATTTCCTTCTGTATTTTTCTTGTTGGAATAATGCTCTATCGATTTTGTTCGTACTTTGTGATAGGATTACTGGGTTCTCATGAGTCTTGGTGGAAATCTGGGTATTTTTCTTCTTAGTATGTTTTCCACAAAGCTTTTAACATGGAACTGTGTTGCTATTCTCCCATCTTGAAATGTTAATGTGTTTAAATAAAGCTTTTTCTGTTTTTTTTCTCCCCCCTTCCTCCCTCTCTCTCTCCCTTCTCTTCATCTCTCTCTCCCCCTCCCCTCCTCCCTCTGTCAGCCCTTCCCTCCATACCCTCTTTTTCCACCCTCCATTCTCTTTTCTTTCCTTCCTTGGTTCCAGTCTCTCACTGCGCGTCTCTCTAGCTCATTTTCTGTCTTGACGTGTCTACACTTGCACTTAGGGTATCATCCATGCTCCCCAGTTGCTGAGCTTAACTCTATAGTCTTCCTTCTTGGGGTGGGGTGTTGCCACTGGTATCTCAACTGCCAGGGAATGTGCCATTTCCACACTGTGCAGGAAGGTGATCGCACCTCATAGAAGATTGCAGCGGTTCTTGCAACTGGCTCTGAAATTATGAAGAGAGGCTGTTACTGCAGCTCTGATCTGACCTCTTACCTCCTGGCCCTCTGACCCCAAAGGCCTTGGGAAAAGCTCGCCTAGCTTTCTTGCTCTTCATTCATTTCAGCATTAGCCGTTTACCGTTGTGTATGGTGTGTGCTGATGTGCTCCACGATGCTGGAAAATCTCCTTCCCCAAAAGAAGCTGTGCTGATGATCGACTGCATGCACAGAAGTAGATGTCTTTCGTAGTAAACAGAGTTTTATAGATGCGGGTCTGATAACTCCTAGTGGGGATGCCAGGATGGCAAGATAGGGGCACTTGATGTTTCATATCATAGAATGGAATCTGCAGGCATTCCTGGCACATGGTTTGTTTGCTGTGAGCTAATTCCCTAGTGCAGATGTTGTCTAGGGGGAACAAAGCAAATACAGGCAGACACTAACTGCACTCACCATTTAGAAAGGGCGTGGGTTCCAATGATAAGAGAATGAGGAAAAATACAAGGCATGAGGGTTATTCACAGGGCCTCATCCATGCCACACAGCTGCTTCCCTGAAGCTAGTACCTAATGCAATAAAAGCCCACTGGGTGGAGACAAGGTGTGAAGACAGTTTTTGTTTCAAGCCGCCATCACCGCAGATTGCCTGGTCTCTGATGAAAGCGCAACCTGAAGATTGAGTTCCTGTCTCTGCTCAGTGGTGACGGGCAGTACCAGCTCCCTTCCTCTGCTTGTGCACGCCCAGCCCTCTGCCCAGTTCTTGCTGTCACAGGGCTGTGGGACATTCTCTGCCTCTGTTCTGAGCTGGCCGAGTCTGGGGCATGGTGATACTCGTTTCATTATTTCTTACAGAAATGAGATCATATATATCTTCTTTTTCCTGAGTTTCCCTAGACAGCATGCAAGAGAGTTCCCTTGGGGCAGAGAGCACTTAGTTCATTGTTGGCACTTACTTCTCCTGGAGTGTTTTAAAGATTCTGAAGGGGCTGGAGAGATGGTTCAGTGGTTAAGAGCACTAGCTGCCCTTCCAGAGGTCCTGAGTTCAATTCCCAGCAACCACATGTGGCTCACAACCATCTGTAATAGAATCTGATTCCCTCTTTTGGTGTGCATGCAAACAGAGCACTCATATATATAAAATAAATAAATCTTTAAAAAAAAAAGATTCTGAAGCCTTTATATGTAGACTTCTGTGAATTGTCATTGACCGTGCTAAATGCCACCCATTGGGCTGGAAGGAATATGGGATCCACTTCAGATGTCACTCTTCAGGCTATAAGCCATATTATCTCCAAATATATTTAGATTTGTTCCTGCATAATGTCATTTTAAGCCAGCAGGACTGGCTACGCTGTGAACTTGTGACAGAGCACAGAAACACCAGAGGACCAGTGATCAACACTGGGAATTAGTCCTCCAGGACAGTGCTGGCTATAGCTCCTAGCTTCAGGACCCTAATATCCATGTCCCCATTCCCCACTGCTCCCTGTTGCCTTTCAGAGACCTCTCTCATCTAAAGGGATGATGCTCTTAGACTCTGGGGACCCTGCATTGAGGGCTTGCTATCCCAGCCCTTTCCCTCTCCTGTAGAGCTATTCTGTCCTCTGAAGGGTTCTGGGTCTCTCGCCTCTCTTTCCAGTTCCTCTGAGTCCTTATCTTCTACTCCTCCTTCTCCCCTCCCCATAGTGCATGAAAATACACTGATGTGTTCCAGACTTGAAAAATATTTCCTTTCAATTCCCAGAGAACTTGTGGTTCTTAGCAACTAATTCACAGTCAGCATGAAGGGCCTCCTTATCCATGGGGTTCCTTGCTAAGGGCTCACTGTTTAATAAATGAAAAATATACTAGATGAATATTATGCTACAATTTCTGTTTCCATGTAAACATTGTTTTAATGTTGTTTCACTGTCTTTCAAACTTATTGTTCTAATTGATGTTAGTATTTAAAACTCAGCTTTTCAGATAAATCCAGAAATTTTATTTTTCTGAGCTTGACATATATAATAACCCTTAGAATCACAAATGATTAAAGAGCTCAGATATAAGAGTTCAGAGAATCTGAACATTAAGTGCATGTGTGAATAGTGTGGCCATTCTATGGGAAAAGTTAACAGTGGACATTGTCCTTAGGGTCTCAGGTTTCTGAGCTTGGACATTCACGACCCTGAAACGGGCAGGCGGACATGTCCAAAGCTAAGGCAGCATTTGCCACAGGCACTGTGAGCCCCAGTGACATGGTCTGTTTGCTTGCATCTCACACACATCTGCAGATCATGTGGCTGCTCTAAAGTCACAGGAAGAGATGGCCTCTGTCTGTCCCCTGCACCCTCACTGCACACCTCACCCTCCTCAAGGCAAAACTTCATTGATAGGTTGTCCTTATATCCCGTAGACCTAGGAAAGGGTGACGTCATCCCAAAATGTGCTTTTTCCAGAGCCGCAGGCTTGCCCTTTCACTTGCAAACCCATTTTCATCTCCACTCCCATCATTTGTTTTTCATTATTTCTGATAAGTTTCTGTAAACAAGGTAATGTCATCCTCAGGACAATCAACCACAGGCTTGTGGTTTTGAAAGAGTCTCTTGCTCTCTTGCCTGCAAGGAAGAAAGCAGACAGGTGGGACAGTGTTCCTGGTAGGACAGTGTCCTTATGAAGGTTCCACCACAGGACCTATATCCCAGGATAACGTGAAAGGGTGTTTGAGCCACCCTGTCATCCAGACAGACCTGTGGCAGGAGCCAGGGTCAGGGATCTGGACAGCTGAGGGTCCAGCTTTGGGTTCCTTGTGTCCTGTGCAGTGTTACAGGACCCCGTGTGCACAGCATCCTGTTGTCCCTGCAAGCAAGCCTCTTGGGACACATGCTGTCCCACTCTATGGCACACCCCAGCTGGGAGCTCTTTGCTGTCTTGTACTGTGCTGGTCCATGGGAAGTTCTGCAAGCCAGCTGCCCTCCACTGCCATGGGGGTAGCTCAGATTTCTTGTGCTCTAGTGTCTGATTCATGGAATTAGTTCACAAACTTAGCCGAAAATCCTGACTAGTATATATGGTCACTATCTTGATTAGCATGATGGGGTCCCCAGAATTTCCTAAAGGAGGATACCGAGACTATTTGTTTTCCAATTGACCCTGCCCTGGGGTCGTTCCTGTAGGACATGGAGTATCCTACAAATCTAGGAGGATAATTTAAAGTCGTGGTGGATAATGCCTGCCTGGCAGATGTCAAATGGGCTGTTCTGGAAGCAACAATAGGGGCTGGATTAAACTTTCAAATTATGAGCTTTATATTCTGTTGAGAGCTGGGCATCTCTGAAGGACAGATTTCTAAGGTCTAGGGGTGAAAACCTAAGTTCTGCAAGGAAAGAAAAGAGGTGCTTTCAGCTTTTGGGGCACCCAGTAGGGTAAGGTGGCAGGAAGGCACTAAAGGAGAACTCAAGGCTCTGACTGTTCTGGGGGATCCTTCCTGGTGCCCTGACCAGAATCCCAGGACTGAGGCTGCATGGAGTCTTACCCCTGTCCCTCCCAGGGTGCAGGCTGTGGCCCTTTGGCTTTGGCTTCAGAGTCCCTGAGCACACTTGGAGGGAAAGGCTGTGCCTGAGTGGGGTTAGGTCATTGAGGGTGAGACCGTTCACAAGGCCCCTCCCACCTTTCCCTTGGTGCCTCCTTAAAGTCCCCTGTTCAGCCTTCCTGAAGCCAGTCTGGGAAGACCTGAGCACCAGCACCATGCCTTTGACACTGGGATACTGGAATGTCCCGAGGACTGAGAGAGGGCTCTGCCTGAAGGGTGGGACTAGGACTTAGGCGGGAAGTTCAGAGCTGCCTGGGCTGTCTTTAGCAGAGGGATACTTCCTTGAGCAATCTGGGGTTCACAAACTGGGGAGAGTGCATGCGTGAGTTGTGTGCATCTGTGTGTGCACCTCGGGGTGGCTGTGTCGGTGGCCTGTGAGGGGACTGAGCTGAGAAAATGAAGTCATCCAGTAAGGGTCCAGCACATCTCTAACCTCTACGGCCTTCTCTCCCAGCTGACTCACCCCATCCGCCTGCTCCTGGAATACACAGACTCAAGCTATGAGGAGAAGAGATACGTGATGGGGGATGGTAATGACACCTTCTCTGTCAGACACCTCCTTTCCCCAGTGATGCCATCACACCATGCCTAGGCTCTTATTCCTAGCCCTGCGGACCATCCACAATGGAGCTGGAGCCTGTTCCTTCCAGCAACCTCTTGAGGCTGCTGCATGTTGGTTTTCTACACACTGAGAAGGACCCAGTATGGGGCAGAGCTTGCCTTTAATCCCAGCACTAAGGAGGTAGAGGCAGGTGGATCTTTGTGAGTTTGAGGTTGGCCAGGTATGCATATCTAATTTCAGAGCAGCCAGAGTTTACATACTTGAGAGACTTTGTGTCAAACAACAACAAAGCAAAAAGAACATTGAGAGTGGAGCTCCTGGTTAACTGGATTTTGAATTGGGCTGGGTTCATTACTGTGGTCCTGTTGGGTCCAGGCTCCCCTTAGTACCAGTTGTAATAATACCAGTTGTGCATCTCTCTCCTCCATCTTGAGAGTGAAGTAGTGTGAGAGGTTGCAGATCCTCTGCCTCAGGGTATCTTGCTCCTGAGTCCTTGGGTGGGTCCCTGAGGAAGGAGTGTTAGACACTGGACTGATTTTTTTTTTTTTTTACATCATCTTGTCCACGACAGCCCCCAACTTTGACAGAAGCCAGTGGCTGAGGGAGAAATTCAATCTTGGCCTGGACATTCCCAATGTAGGTACAAGGAAGGGGAGGTTTGGAAAAGGCATGGTGATCTCACCTCGTGTTGCCTGGCTGAGGAGTTTGGGATCGGTGTTTCCGCTCTCCTGCTCCCATTCCGGCTGGTTGCAGTTTCTGTGATGGGCTGTGTCCCAGCTCATTCATTCATTGTGCCCTGTGCTCAGAGAGGGCATCCTGTGGCAGACACACTTCGTGCCACAGCCAGCCTGTCCTCACCCTGAGAAGGGATGCAAAGACTCCATATCCCATCTGAGCATTTCTGCTTGTCCTCGCAGCTGCCCTACTTAATTGACGGGTCACACAAGATCACCCAGAGCAACGCCATCCTGCGCTACCTTGGCCGCAAACACAACCTGTGTGAGTGGGGCTGGCTGCTTGGCTGGGGCAGGATGCTGAGGGTGAGTCTGTGCTGTGTGTGCTGCAGGTGGGGAGACAGAGGAGGAGAGGATCCGTGTGGATACTTTGGAAAACCAGGTCATGGACACCCACATACAACTCATGATAGTCTGCTGCAGCCCGGACTTTGTGAGTTGCCAGTGGGTGGAGCAGACGGGGTTTGCAGCAGGAGTTAGCCTTGCACTCTGACCTGCATTCAGACTTGCATCCTCCTTCCTTGATGAACTGAGTTACTTACTGATCTGCAGGCTTTCCTGTCTTGCCAGCAGAACGGCCTCATTACCCCAGCAGCCTCTCACGTCAACACCGTGAATCTGTCGCTGCTCACCTAACCTTCTAGATATGGTTCAGATTCTGTAGAGTGAACAGTCTGATCCTAAACATTTAATGCCTGTTATGCCTGTCCTTTGCCCATTTCCATGTGTCATTTTGATCTGGTGTTCTCACTAACAATCCTTAAAACACAGACCCAAAGGGTGAAATAGAGGAGGGGGAGATGGCTCAGAGGGCAAAAGTCTTTGACGTGCAAGCCATGAGGACTCGATGATGGACCCCAGGTACCCAGATAGAAAACACAAACCAGAGAGTGTCTTGTAGCAGCATGAGAAAGAAGACAGGAGGATTACTGTGCTTGCTGGCCAGCAAGTGCAGCTAGTCTGAGTGCTGCAGGCTCAGTGAGAGACACTGTCACAAAAACATAAGGTGGAGAGAGACCGAGGAAGACACTGGACAGCAGCCTTTACCTTGCATGGATGCACACACAGGTAGGCACAGCCATACACGCCCTCTCCTACAAACACATTATGAAGAGAAGAGGCAGAGGCTTGGGAGTGGCATGTGCAATGGCTTCGCCCATACACCAAGCACTTCCCAAGAGTTCTGTCTTTAGCATCACTAAAGGTCAGGACATCTTCTTTGTAGGCAGCTCAGGGGCAGTCAGAGGACCCTTGACAATTCTTCCTTTCAATGTTCATCACTCAAATCTGATGCATGCTCTTCAAATATCTAAACTGTTCTTATGCACTCACTCCCAAAACCAGTCTAACTTTGTCTTCTCCTGGGTTCTTTGAGTCCTTTGTTTCTGGATCTCTGAAACCACAACATGCATGATGACGTGCATAGAAGATCTGGGTGTGACTCCAGCTCCTGAGTACCAGTGGTGACAGATCTATGGACAGTGTAGCATTCCTGTCTGTCTCCAAGTCACTGCTGATAGATGATGTCCAGCTACTAAAAAATAAAAGTAAAAAATGGTGGCCACACTCACGAGCCTAGCCCATGACTAGTTGGGGAGCCCATGACTAAGGGGGCTGACAGCCCTTTTCTGCCTCAGGAGAAGCAGAAGCCAGAGTTCTTGAAGGCCATCCCTGACAAGATGAAAATCTACTCTGAGTTCCTGGGCAAGCGGCCATGGTTTGCAGGGAACAAGGTAAAGGTGGGGAGATGGAAGCAATGAGGTTGCCATTCTTCCCAGGTTGCCAGATTCCAGTACACTCACCTGGGCTTCCTGCAGGTCACCTATGTGGACTTTCTTGCTTATGACATCCTTGACCAGTATCGTATGTTTGAGCCCAAGTGCCTGGATGCCTTCCCAAACCTGAAGGACTTCCTGGCCCGCTTTGAGGTGATGCCCTGATCCCGCTTCCTCTCGGGTTGTCTCGTTCCTCATTGCATGATGCTTTTCTAGTCCTGAGACTAAAGGAAAAACAACTAGGATTATTTTTTTTTCCAGATTTCTGTAAACCGTATCTGGCAACATTTATCACTTCAATATCCACAAGTGTGGTGATGATTGTGGGGGAAGGGAGGATATTGGGCACGTCATGCATAATGCCGCCATCTTGGGACTGAATCAGCAGAGAGCTCTAGAAACCCAGACTGTGAGATGTGTGTGATATTACCCTGGGCTGTTTAGCCCAGCCTGGATCGCACCACACAACAGTCTTGGGATATGTACATGAATCTGGGAATCAGAGACATTGAGCCAAGGACATTTCTTTCTATATCTGTTGACCTTGATGATCTCTCCCCATCAAGGGTGCTCTTTCCCTGCTAGTTCTCATCAGCTGTGGTTCTGGCCCAGACTGGGTATCCTGGGGACTGTGCAGAAGATAGCATGGCTTTAGGGTGGGTGGCTGAAGGGGCACCTTAGCCCAGCTTGTGTACAGTTGGTGGCAGATGTCTTCGCGACCTCTAGAATCGTCTGTGTATTCTGCAGCTTGGTGAATGGCTTATCGCATGACATATGGTCCTGTGGGGGTGGTGCCTGTATTAGACAGGGAGACAAGGACAGCCAGAGTGCAATGAGGTTACACTTGGCAACCAAGCGAACTGTCAGTTCTGCTCACAGGAAATGGATTAGAATCCCGTTCAGCTTTCCCTTGAGGCCTGTTCTCTTGTTTGATTTCATTGAGGATTTGATGAGTCACTGGGTTCCACCTGCTTTCCCCGTTCTTTCATCCTGTTAGATCCCTCCTCTGTGTAAATACAAGCCAGAAAATGCTTCCCAGTGAAATGTCTGTTCATAGGGAAGAGAGAGGGAGGGAAACAGTGACGGAGTGGAAGTGGAGAGGGAGAGGCATGGGAGAGGGAGACAATAGAAGAGGACAAGGGAGAGGAAGAGGATGAGGAAAATGGAGGAGGATAAGGGAGAGGGAGAATGGCAGCCTCAGAGCCAAGCTGATTTCACCTCTGTCTTAATGGATACCTGAGTGAGAAGGGAAGTTGACTAACTTCTCTGGATCTCAGACTTCTGGTAATGGGTCTTGGTCCAGTGCCTTCCCAGGGTCTTAGCTCCCATTATAGGAACCTGAAGCATTCTCTAGCTAGGGCCAGGAGCTAAGCTGGCTGTGCTGTGGTCCAGAGCTCGAGTCTTTGAGAAATGTTATCCCTGGTGTGGGGCTGCTCAGTCTAGTGGGGCTGCAGGGCTGAGCTCCTGCTGTGTCCTTCCCAATTTGCAGGGCCTGAAGAGGATCTCTACCTACATGAAGAGTAGTTGCTTCCTCCCAACACCTGTGTTTACTAAGCTAGCCAGGTGGGGCACGGATTAGGCCCCTGCCATGCTGGCACTCACAGGGAGGATCTGTCCACACTGGGGATTCCCCAAGCCTTGGGGGCCACTGGTCTTCTGCTCTGCCACCTCCGTATTCTCACTTCTCTCTCACTCCCATCTCCAGCGTTGTCAGCCAGCCCTGACCTAGGCAAGCCCATGCAGTCTTCATTCTCCACCTTCTTTCATCACAACCCCCTCTCCATTTGTGCCCTAACCCAATGTCACAGTCCTTTTCTGTGGTTTGAGGTCTGCCCTGAACTCACGCTTCTTAGAATCACCCTAAAGGTCAATACTGTCTCAATGTCAGCCCGTTCCTGATGGAGGAGCTGCCCCGGCCTGTCTCATCTCCAATAAAGCCCGAAACCCACTTGCTGTGTGTTGTGTCTTATTCCTTTTGCTTTGGACTTACCAAGCAGTCTGAGCTCTGAGCCTGTCGTGCCAGGCTCTGGAGTACCTAGAGGAACCAGAAGAGCTTTGAAATATCTTGGTTCTAACCTGAGACCCTTTCAGCAGAGCTCACTAGAGGATGAAGTATATTTGCCTGGAACCTCTTTAGCATGCTGGGACTTTCCTCTTCTGTTTTTTCTTGTTTACAGAGAATGTGTTTGATGTTACATGTGTTTTCTGACTAAAGGCAGTTAACTACTAAAGGTTATTTATTATCAAAGTTCAATATGCTAATATTAATATTGAAATTATCTTTAAAGCAATAGAGTTTTTCTAGGATATTGGTCTATTGGTCTACTAAATTTTTTTTCAACAATATAACGAGGAAAACTAAGTCTTAACAAAAATTTCAAACAAATAGGTTTTTTTTTAGAACTCTATCAAAACATTGCATGAATTTTTGAATTACAAGTTTGTCAATGTTGTTCTTCTGGGTTTTCAACAAAAGTAATTGTAAGATCTCTACCAATAAGGATAAGAGAGTCAATAAGAACAGCTACTATTTTGGCCCTTGACCTCCAAGGTCAGCCAGGACCCATGAGACAGGATCAACAGACTGTGCAGGCATATTACCTTGGATTCTGTGAATATGTGTATATTATTTCTAATGGGAAAAGCATCCTGAAATTTGCACCCCCTCACCTGTTGATGGTGAGAGAGCCCCCACAGCCTGTGCTGTAATCAGTCCTGAGTGGACAGGAAACCCTGGGAAAGTGCCAGCTAAAGCATGAGAGAAGAATGCCAGGAGATGACGGGTGCTTTGGCTAACAGGAGGAACTCACACATCACCTAGCTTTGAGTTCACCTAACTCCTGTTCTTGGTATTAGGCAGCTAGACTGGCAGTAGCAGGCTTGGAAGGGGGCAGGGAGGAGATGAGGAAGGGAGGGTGGAATTAGGAGGGAAAGAGGGAGGGGACTACAGATGGGATACAAAGTGAATGACCTGTGATTAAAACAAAAAAAAAAAAAAAAATATATATATATATATATATATATATATATATATATATATATAAAAGCTGTGTGAAGACAAACAAAACGTCATAATCAGTTTCCCGCCTTCCTATTTCTCTTTAAGAAAAGGTAACATCGAGATTGCTTCCTTAAAAATTCAAACACCAAATGAGAGGAAGGAAGATGAGGGCACCAGGGCTTTGCTGAGACCCATTAAGGGAAAGTATTTCTTCCTGGTCAAATATAGAATCTGAGTTTTACCCCTGGTCCTGGGTATAGACATGACATTTTGAATTATCCAAAACACAAGGTTACAAATACATACTATTGCCTCCTACTTAAAGAGTTACTTAACTGGGCTTGTCAATGGCCTGGCTAGGAGACTCCTTCTTCAAGAAAGCTGGTACACCTGAAGACATGTTAAGACGAATAATTACCCCATAAATGAGGTAACACATTCACATAATCCAGAAACCCTCCCTTGAAGTAACTGCTTACAGATGTGCTAAGCCTACTGCTCTTCTGAATTCTAATTCAAAAGGTGGACTTTTCCTTTCTCCCCTTTCTATTTATTCTTCAGATCGTAGCCAATTCTCTGTGTGTTTCCCCTGACTCTCCTTCTTTGAAGGCATTTCTCATCTCATATGGCTGCTTCCAAGCCTCCATTGCTGTGTCTATCTGCTTCCTTGGACACTAACTCAAAAAGCGTGACTCATTCTTCATTTTCCATTTCTCCCTCCCGGCAGCTGCTGGCATGTACTGCTTCCCTGACCTGCTGTTTTTCTCTCTAATTCTTAATGAGATGATCCTTCTGAGTCCATTTTCACTTATGTATTTTTTTAGCCTAAATTGCTAAGTTCAGGCTGGCCTCAAATTGTTATGTAGCAAAGGATGGCATTGAACTCCTGATCCTCCTGCTTCTACCTCCCAAGAACTGCGGTTACAGAATTATACAGTTATTCCTTCACTGAGTCTTGTGTGTGTGTGTGTGTGTGTGTGTGTGTGTGTGTGTGTGTGTACAGAGTATATGCATATGTGTTCACATGTGTGTGGAGACCAGGGTCTGATATATCTGGTGTCCTCCTTAATTACTCTCCACCTTAATTTTAGTACCTGGACTTGGAGCTCACTGCTTCAGCTAGACTGACCATTCAGGAAGCCTCTGGGAGCCCCCTGCCTCCAACTCCCTAGCGATAGGATTTTGGATGCCCCCACCACCACATTTTACTTTTTTAATGTGGTTTCTGGAGAATCAAACTAGTGTTTGATGTGCTGGTTAGGTTTTTGCCAACTTGACACAAGCTAGAGTTATTTGGGAAGAGGAACCTCAATTGAGAAAATGCCTCCATCAGATTGCCTGTAGACAAGTTTGTAGGGCATTTCATGATTGATGTAGAAGCACCCAGCTCACTGGAAGGGACAGGGAGGGGAAAGGTTTTCTGTTTCCTTGAGCGCATGCTCTGCCACCCCTGGGCAGATGATCCTGAGTGGTATAAGAAATCAGACTGAGAAAGCCATAAAAACCAAGCTTATGAGCAGCGTTTCTCTGTGTATGACTTCTGTTTCAGTTTCTGCCTCCTGGTTTCTGTGTGCAGTAAACCCTTTCTTCCTCAAGTTGTTATTGGTCATGTCTTTTTTCACAGCAAGAGGAACCCTAACTGAAATATCTGACAAGTCTTTACCAACAGAGCCATTTCCCCATTCTCCCAAGTCCAGCGGCCCTCTCTTCCTGCTGCCTTCAGATCCAGATGTAGAACTCTCAGCCACCATGTCTGCCTGCATGCTGACATGCTCCCTACCATGAAGATAATGAACTAAACCTCTGAAACTGTAGGCAAGCCCCAATTAAATGCTTTCTTTTATAAGGGTTGCTGTGGTCATGGTGTCTTTCCACAGCAAGAAAACACCAACTAAGACAAATACTAAAAACCTGAACAAGGGAACTGCGGCTCTCAAGTAACATTGGTGGGATATAGTATTTGAGATTTAACCTCAAGTTCCAGGTTGCAATGACTTGAAGGGCCTTTGAACCACCATCCCATTCCCAGACACACATGAACCAGGAGCCTGTGCTAGGGTTGATGCCGGGGAGCTGGACAGCTGAGAGTCTGGCCATTGAGCTCCCTAGATCCTATGCAGACACTGCTGGGTCCCCTTTGAACAGGAATCTCTAGTCTCTTGGAAGCAGTCTGTTTCCGTGATCATATGCTCTACCACCCTATCAGCTCTGGCTGCAAGCTCTGTGGAGCCTTCTGCTGTGCTGCTGAGCGTGAGGTTTTGCCAACAGACTGCTGTCAGTGCAGTGGGAAAGCCTGAGGTCCACAGGCCTTGGACTGAGCTCACAAATATGGCCAACACACTGATTAATTTATATGCTCATTTTTAAGTTTCAAACCTGGAACAAGACGCTGAAGTCCCCATTTAACATATCAAAGCTGACCTGGCCTCCAGGTTCTACCAGCTTCCCTCAGTCCGTATCTGCCACAGGATATGTATGATTGGCATATATACCTTGAACTCTCCAGCCCAGGGGCTGGGCCGCCCTTCCCCGAGAGGCTCTTCCCTATATAATCCAGATTTTTGAACCTTTGGCCTCCTGATTGTTGTTCTTGGTTCCCTCCTCCCTCCCCACATGGTTCAGGGTCATGACCACTCTGAATTCTCCCAGATGTGTCTGCCTCTGGCTACGCTCTCCCATGTATTTAAAATAAACGTTCTCCTCAATCATACCTAGGAGCAGCCATGTCCTTTCCTTTCCTTTTTATTTCCCTGTCTCTTTTTTTCATTCCAACCAACGTGTCATTCCCATGTCACTTCTTATCCCCAGAACTCTAGACTGCAAGGACAGTGATGTTTTGATAGCTTTCAGACTAGAAGAGTCCTGGAAGCAGTGATGCATGCTTGATTAAACTCTCAGCTCAGGGGCATGCCTTTTCGGCCCTTATATTGACGGGTGAGCTTTCTTGGATGACAGATTCTCACCGTCTAGGTATGAAAATTGAGGTCAGCAATGAAAAAAAAAAAAAAAAAAAAGAAGAAGAACCGCCTTGTTGTCTGCCTATTTGGCCAGTCTCCAGGGGGCACTTCCAACTTCCTGAGGACCCAGCAGGGGGGAGGGGTTGTAGGCAGGGAGCCACTAGAGCAGGTGTGCCAATCACTGCCTTCGGTGTCTGAATACTCAGACTTGCCTCAGGAGATGGTAAGTTTGGACAGGAGCTCCTCCCCACTGTCCAGGTAAGCTGGGCTTCAGGCCTTGAGGGTTGGCCCATTTGGGAGTGGGGCAGGAGGACTCAAGAACAGCATGCAAGCAGACGCTGCCCCCTGTGCTCTGGTATCTGAAAGTGAAGTCCATCCTGACTGAAGCCCGCCTGCCCAGTCTCCAAGGGGCTGCCTGCAGGGAAGGGACACAAAGCCATCCCTCTTGGCCTGGCCTGGCTGGGGCGGGAGGCCGAGGGTGAGTCTGTGCTATATGTGCTGCAGGTGGGTAGACAGAGGAGGAGAGGATCTGTGTGGACATTTTGGAGAGCCAGCTTATGGACACCCGCATGCAGATGAGCAGTGTCTGTTACAGCCCTGACTTTGTGAGTCCTAACTGTGTGGAACAGGCAGGGGCTTGCAGGAGGAGTTAAAGGCTTGTGTTCATATCCACACATGTCCTATGTGGGATTTGAACCCACCCATTTTGAATCTCTAAGCTTTCTTATCCAGGGAACACATTCACCTTCCTAACCCCCAAGTCTTAAGCACTGTGTATCAATGCCTAGAAATCTTTGGTATGGTTGTGACAGCCATGGATGGGCATTTGCTTCCTATATAATAAATTCTTGTATTCAGAATTCTCTCTAACTTTGGGCTTGACCACTGCCATGCGCCATCTTACCTGGCTGGTCAGACATCTCCCTGCTCCTTGGATGCACAGATTCAAACTGGAAGAAAATAAGCCTAATCTATTCAGAGATCTACCCAACAGTTTTCCCAGAGCTGTGTCCCTGGTAGAAGCAATGACCAGGACCTCTTCCAGTATGCAGCTCACGCTCAGCCTGAGGACCTTTGGCCCTTTCAACCTCAAACATGGTTCAGCTTTGCTCACGCTGCTCAGATATTGACCCTGATCTTGTGTCATCCCTTGGGAATAATTTTGTCTCTTCTCTAGAGACTGCTACCTATTTTGCTTCTTCGGTTCCACTGGACTTCTGGGTGTAGAACCTGTAAGTTACCTAAAAGTAGTCTTGGGTGTAGTACACCATGCCTGGTTGGGATGTTGGTGGTGACAGATTCAGGGACAGTGTGGCATTCTCATCTAACTTCCAATCTGAGTGAACTCTGCTACCAAGTAGGAGTCTGATTGCTACAATGATTTGTTGTTTAGAAAGCTGCACACATACCCAGGCCCAGTATTATAAAGGAAGTGACTATTCTGCACGGCCCTAAGAGGTCAGCCTTTCTCCATAGCTCCTGTGTTTAAGGATGGTGACAGCTGTTTGCTCTCCCAGGAGAAACTGAAGCCAGAGTTCTTGAAGGGCCTCCCAGAACAGTTGATGCTTTACTCTGAGTTCCTAGGGAAGTGGCCATGGTTTGCAGGGGACAAGGTAAAGAGGGCAATAGGTAGGGGGAGGAGTTGCCATTCTTCCCAGGTCACTGGATACCATCCCACTGACCCTCACTTCCTGCAGATCACCTTTGCAGATTTCCGTGTCTATGATGTCCTTGACCAGCACCGAATGTTTGAGCCCACATGCCTGGACGCTTTTGCAAACCTGAAGGGCTTTGTGGCCCGCTTTGAGGTGATACCCTGATCTTGTTTCCTCTTGAATATGCTTCTTTTCCCAGGATGTTTCTGAGGGTTAAAGGAAGAGTAACAAGGACCTACTGAGTACAGGCCTCCTACCAGGACCTGTGCTCTGCCACTTAGCATCATTGCAACAGGCAGGCAATGGTTAGATTTAGCTGACCCACTGGACAGATCAGGAACTAAAGATGGTGGAGAGAAAGCTGCTTGCTCAAGGTCACCAGTACACGCTGTTCTGGCTCCTGCCTACCTCTGACTTCTAAAGGCAGCTGACCTGAACCAGCAGGTTGTTCTTCAGTGACAAGGTCCTAAGTGGGAAGTGGCCAGGAGATGAGAAAGATAGAAAATAGAGACAGTAAGCTAAGGTTGGTAGGTCTGGTACAAGTTATGTCTTATGCCAAGGAAACTTAGTAAGACATATAGCCTCTTATATACTGTATCCAGGAGAAAAATGGGATACAACCAGCTGAAAGCTAAGCAAGCAGTGTTGCCAAAGGGGAACAGAATATCTCAAGAACATTGCAGTCTGAGCACACAGTGGCCTTGGACTGATAACGATAGCTCTGAACAGTGGGAAGAGCTGGGTTCTCAGGATTGGAAGCCACAGAGTCCCCAAGGCCCTGGCCCTAGACCATTAGCAGCTGTGCCAAGCATAGCCCTGGTCTTAGAGAAAGAGCTGAGTTCCTTCTTCATACCTCATGGGCTTGGGGGATGCCTTGGTTCAGTAGAGCTCAACACACAGCATTCAGTGTCTCCTTCTGATTTGTGAAAAAAGGAAAATCAGGCCCTTGTACACCTGGGTTTCCTGCCCAGGACCTGTGGTATGAGGAACATGTGAAGAATTTGTCTATTCCCACAACCATTAGGTTGAGACAAAGGCAGACTGATGTGCAAGACTAAGACTACTCAGTGGCCATAGCGGATCTGTAGAATGGTGTATCCATGTTCCTGACTAGGGAAGCACCATGACTCAGGGCTCTAGCTGGTTTTAGATTGAGCACCTATGTGGAGTTACTGTAGAAGATTTTGTTTTGTTTTGTTGTTGTGTTTGTGGGGACAGGGTGTCTCTGTATAGCCCTGGCTGTGCTGAAACTTGCTCTTCCATGAACTCAGAGAACTACCTGCCTCTGCCTCCTGTGTGCTGGGATTAAAGGCCAGTGCCACCACCGGCTGGGTGCATCCCTCAGAAGACTTCACCTTGAGTTTTGTTGATGGGTGTGCTCTTTCCTCCCTCTCTTCCTTCTAATCTCCTGTATGTGTTTCTCTGTGAAATGAGCTCTTACTTTAATGTTTAATTCATATTCCCTGGAATTTTCCTTTCTGTGTGAGGCCTGGCAGGACATTTAAAAATGGCCCTTCATCCTAGGAGTGAGTGAAGCTAAGAGCAGTAGTCACAACAGACTGTGGGAAGTATGTGTTATTGTTGGTTGCCAGGCCCTCACCTCATGGTTAATCATGGGCCGTGTAGAGCTATTTGCTTTGACACCAACAAGACTATTATTTTCTTAGGTTTAGGTGTTGGCGGTATTAGTGTAACAACAATGGTAGCTTGGAAGTTCTTCTTCTTGACTCTCCATAAAGGAATCCATTCTCTGTGAGTTCTCATCATTATGCTTCTGGTCCACATGGAATGGCCTTGGGAGCGTGCAGGAGCTGGCCTGCCTGGGGAGGGCACTAGAAGCACTTGTGGAGTGCAGAGGCCCACGGTCCAGCACTGATGGGTGTGACTTTGGGGGCTGGTAGCTCCGGCTTTTATTGATCTTTAGGCCTGACCTATGCACTCTTGGCTGAGGTGTCCTCTAGCACACTCTACTGTACCAGAGCTAGACACAGAGGTTGGTGGGGCTCAGGGAGCTTGTGCTCAGGGCTCAGGTGGAGAAGTTTTAGCTTCAGGTGAACAGTTGGAGCTGGCCATGCCTTGCTCTGTGGTCCCTTCAGCCTTTTCCACTTATACTCAGGATTTGCTGAATCACTGGGTGGGACCTGGGCTCTCTTCCAGGCCACACACACAAGTCCTCAGCTCTTTTGGTTTCTGGATCCTTGATTCCTTTCATTGTGGGCATGTCAGTGCAGCCAGGAGTGACAGTGCCCCCTACAGGAGGCAGGAGAGGAGTGCACAGAGGGCAGAGTGGGTGGAGCACAGAGCCACAGAGCTGGGCTGACCCTCTTAGGCCTGGGAGGATGAGGAAGTTTCTTAACCTCTGGGTACCTCAGCATCCGTGCTTAAAGCTGGTGATGGTGGGACTGATTTTGCAGGGTGGCTGGGTGGATTTTCTGCGCCTGAATCTTAAGGTCTCTTGGCTGTTCCCAGAGTGGGTTTGCAGACCTGAGGTCCTGGTTTCTCCTTCTCACCTGCAGGGCCTGCCGAAGATCTCTGCCTATATGAAGACCAGCCGCTTCCTCCCAAGTCCTGTGTACTTAAAACAGGCCATGTGGGGCAACAAGTAGCCGAGAGTGCACCTGCAGTCCTGGACTTTGAACCGCACTTGGCTCCTGCTTTCCCCTCTGCATCAGTCTTCTCCTTCCACTTCCTCCTCTCTCAGGGTCGCTGTCTCCCCTCCACCCACTATTTACAGCAAACCTTCCATAAGTCCAGCTCTTCACTTCTTTGGTTCTTTCCTTCTCTTAGTTGTTTCTGTCCTGTTTCCTAGCAGATGGCGGTATGCTTGAGCAGCTTAATTGACCTTATAACCCTCGCCCCCCCCCCCCAATTGCCTGAGCGATCAGGGTCATCTGAGCCCCTAGTAAAGTCTGAACTGCACATGCTCTGCATCTTGTCTTATTGCCAGTGACCCTGAAGACTGACTACATTGACTTGGTTGAGTGGCGTCCGTTCTTGTGTTCACCGGAAGAGCTGGGTATTAAGACTATGATGAGAGCCCTCAGTCAGGGGCATCAAATATGGCCCTTGATGTCCTCTGATGATTCCGATGATGGGATTCCTCCAGGACGAGGCTCCTTTCATGCCAGGCCTCCTCATTTGTCCTGCAGTATACATGATATTTGTGCTTCTCCATTGGCGAGGCCCTAGGATCCACATCTGTCCTTACCGGAAGTCCTTCCTGAACCCAATGTTCAGTGTTCTGAACGTTCTTCTTTGTTCTCAGGAAATATCTGCATCTTTTGTGACTGGTCTTGTGGGTATTCTCACCCAACTCCTTTCAGGGATCCAGGAGTCATTGAATTTTTGATCTCTAATATGAATGACTGTGTCAGGAGAACAGTCAATGTTCGGGAAATTAATATTTGCTTTTTTTTTTTTAAGCATTCTTTTTCAGGGATGCTTTTGCCACTGCTGGGAATTAGCACTGTGGCAATAATCCTGGTTTCCTCCCAGAAGGCACAGAACGAGATACAAAAGATTTTCCATGGTGGAGTAGTCTGACCCAGAGGGCTAATTGCTTAGCCCTCTCTAAGCAATTAGGAGGCCGCAGCTGCTCCTGAGTGGCTGGAGGTGGGTGGGGCCTACTTTCCTGGGCCTGATTGCAGCAGCCAGGTGTGCTGTGGGTGTTTTGTGTCAAAACAGCTGGACTCTTGAGAGAACCGTCCTTTGATGGAGGACAGATCACAGATTCTGGCCTATGTCAAGCACTTCTTTCGAGACTTACCCGTAACTGGGAACAGGTCGGAGGACAGTGCTGCTGGGCATTATCCGTATGCCAAGTTTCAGCCTGTTACAATAGTTATGAAATAAGAACTCATAGGCAGATGTGAGGGCCACTGTGAAATAAGTGACTAATTAAAAGGTAAAGTTCGTAAGATAAAAGTTCACCGAAGAGAAATACTTATTAATCTGGTAAGATCAAAATCATTTTAAGCCAACCTTTGTTAAACACTTACTTAAACACAGATGAAGTAACAGGAAAAGAGGAATATTATGAGAGTTCAGTAGGTAGACACAAATATTAAGGGAGAGCGAAAGAACGTGTGTGTGTGTGTGTGTGTGTGTGTGTGTACATGCGTGCTTGTGCAAATGGAAACCAGGTTGACATCATCCAGTACCTTCTTCAGCCACCCTCGGCCTTTTTTTCTCTTGAGATTTTTGTCTCATCCTGAGCCTGAACCTCACTCATTTGCCTAGACTGTCTGGCTAGTAAGTCCCTGGATTTTGCCATCTCCCCAGCACTAAGATTAACAAGCCCACACTTCCTAGCCTGGCTTTTCTACAGGTGCTGGGGACTGAACTCAGATGGTTGCACTTGCGTGATGGCTTGCACAATATGCAAGGGCTTTACAGACTGAGCCATCTCCCCAGCCCGTCCTGGTCTTTTCTGATTCCCCTGCTGGCTCTCTGCGGAAATCTTAGACAAGACACAGCAAACAGTGAGGGGGTCTGGCCATGTCCCACTGCAACAAAGAGAAGACCAAACAACTCAAACTTGGGCCAAGGGCTAAACAGACTTTTCTTTTCCTTGAGAAGATATGCAAGTGTCCATAAGCACGCAAAAAGTCGCTTTAAAATCATTTATCATTAGAGAACTGTAAAGCAAAACCACATCGAATATCTGCCTCACACATATGATTAGTCTCTGTCAGTAAATAATGACGGGTAATGATTGTGCAAGGCAATTGGAAGGTTTTGGTTTTGTCTCTGGGAATGTGAAACACTGCATCTACTGTGGAAATTAGGCTGTTTCTCATAAATACATAATAGAATTACTCATGTTGTGTGCCAATTCCTTTTTATGCACATACTCAAAATAACTCAAAATTCACAGATATATAACACATATGCATATATAATATGCAATATATATGTACCATATATAATAGGTTTAAATAACTACATTGGCTTCTTAAGACAATATTTCTCTATTTAGCTCTCAAGCTGGCCTGGAATTGCTTAGGTAGCCCAGGCTGGCCAAGACTAGTAATCTTCTTGCCTAGGCCTTCTGAGTCCTAAGAATTACAGGTGTGCACCAACACGGGCTGTTGAAATACGTATCTGTACGTCCATGTGCAAAGAATCACTGTTGAGAATCCATTTACAAATGAATATAAATAGAAAATGCAGTGTAGAAACACAGAAGAATATTTTTCAGTGTTAAAGAGGAGGACTACTTTTACCCATGAGAAAACTAAGATGAAACTTGTGCCATTAAAACGGGCTTTAAAAAAAAAGCAACGATTTTACATTGAAGTTGGGATCATAGTCCCTTGGCCCCATGTAAACACATGGCAGAATATCATAGCAGCCAGGACATATGGCAAAGGCTGTTTTCCACTTCTTGGTGAAGAGGCAGAGTGTGACAGGAAGGGTTTGCAGACTGCATGTCTGTGAGGAACCATCACCAGGCATCTAGCTCTTGAAGCTTTGTCTCATTCTCCTCAATGTGCTATCACCTCCCACGACAGAGTCACCAGCTATTCAAGGGATCAGAATACGATCCTGTGGGAGTGAGGGTATTCCATATTTGAGCTGTAACACGTGAGGAAGGCAGATAGTCACAGAGATGGTTTCCAGAGGCTGACAGAAAGGGCAACTGACAAAACCTCCAGCTTCACAACAGGGAAAGAGTCACAGGATGGGTGGAGACAGCTGCTGACATCAGTGCCTGTGGCCATACGGAAAGGACACAAGGTCACAGGTGGTGTTACAGAGCTTACCACAGTAAATAGAGAGAATAAATAAGAAAGAAAGTAAGGAACAGTACGTGGTTATACAGTCCCCGGCCCCAATTCAGATGCTCCCATTTCAAGGGCAAACTACTGTAAAGCCAAATGCTACATTAGATTTAAATTTTTAAGTGTGGATATAAGAGAAAGGAATCGAGAGAAACTTCATCCTTATATCCTGGAGAGGACAAAATAAAGAAGGCAACTACAGATAAAAAAAAGATCTCTGATCAGTGTGCCCAGAAGAGATAAAGACATCCAACTGAGGGTCTCAGCTGGACATTGCATAAGATGTGTACTTCGGACATAGGCAACAAAAAAATATTTGCTGTAGTGGGCACCTCCATTCAGTGTGCCTCTTGCTCTCTAGAATGGGAGAGGGAACAGGCTTTCTTCAAAACAATAGGAAACTGTTTGCACTGGAGTTGGCTCCATCAGTCTGTCACCACTCACTGTTCATTACACTTCTTGGCCTAGTTTCCTTCTATTTATCGTGTCGGTGGATGAGGATTCAACTCAGAGACATCGGTCTAGAGAACAGTTAATCTCATGGAGAGAGTCCAGGAGACTGAGCATCTCTGGTTCACGGAGTCTTTCAGGGTCCCTGCCTCCTTCTTTAGGGTGCTTCCCCTTTGTTAGGTTTTCAGGTTCCAGAGGAGAAGGGGGCACTGAGTCTAGTTGACCTGTAGGCAAGAGTTTTGTTAACCATTGGCAGTATGGCAGCCCAACACAATAGGGTCTGAAGAAGAAGGACGCTTGAGGCCCCTCTAGGGAAGGCAGAGCCTGTTCCTTTAAGATCCCTTGTGAGGGGAGTAGAGAGGAAGGGCTACATCTCAAGGAACTGCATCCAAGGTCGGCTGATATGACCTAGACTAAGAGACACTGTGTTTTCTTGAGTTCCTGGCTCGAACAAGTGTTTGGAAAGGCCTAAGGACACTTCTGGATAAGGCTTCTGGAAGCACAAAGGGCCTATTAGTTCATGATAGGACAGTGGCCCCTTGTCCTATATGCAGTCCTTCACTGAGGGCCTTTTACCAGGGAGGGGAAGACAAGTTCCCTGCCCACTCCCCCATCCTTAGAAGAAGCTTTGTCTCGATTATGGGAAGGAGAGAAAGAAAGCAGGCCAAGGCAGGAAGTTCCCATCATGCAGGTGGGGCACATGGGCACCTGTCAAGGCCAGTCACATCTCACTGGTGAGGCGCAGAATGCCATACTCAGGCTCAAGATCACCTAGAGTGATGTCATCCCGTGCAGCATTGGTCCTTGGCTCAATGTGTCGGGGGGCTGGCTGCAAGGTGGGTGTGGGGCTTGTTAGAAGCCATCACTTGAACTCATCAGGGGGAAAATACTGAGCATCAGTCACTGTGTGGGCTGCACGTGGATAGGAAGACATTCTGAAGAACCACGCTAAGGCTACCTCTAGTCAGGTGGTGAGAAACTGCTCAGCCCTGACTTTCTGTGTCATGTCACGCCCCCTGCTGGACAGGGTTTGGATTGTCCACCCAGGCTCTAAGTCTGCTCCGAGCTTGTTGAAACAACTTGCTCTCCAATCCCACAGGCTGCCGCCCGTGTAGCTCATAACACCCTACGGTATTAAGTGAACACTATTACTCAGAAGCCATCAATGTCAGGATAGAGTGGCTTCTCCCCGGAGTGGGCCCTCAGCTCCTAGAGAGCAGAGTCTGTGTCTAGAACTCTCTACTGCCTGTGACCTGTGCCGTGGGCTTTGTTCCAGCTGGGTCAGATCATCTCTGTGCCCCTGGAATAAACAGGCTCAGTGGATGAGGAAGAGTAGTAGTTCAGGATAAAGGAGAGACATGGAACCCTTGACTTTACCTCTGCTCACCTGTTGCCTTGGTCCTGCCTGTTCAAATCCATTAGCGAGTTTTCTGATAGAAGGCTCATGGGCAGCCAGAGGGCCTCTGCTCCTCTCCCTTCTGCCTCTTAGCCTCGATTACTCCCCAACTTCATGGAAATTATCAAGTGCTTGCTCATTACTCTGCCTCCCCACTGAGATGAATTTTGGCTCCCTGTCCCTGAGCCCCCGAGTTGTACATATGTGTCCCTGTGTCTACACATGTGTACACATTTATGTGCCGGTTACAGGCTGACATTTGGCATCTTCATCGATCACTTTGTATTTAGTTTTTGGGGACATCTCTCTCACTGAACCTGGAGTCTGCTGAGTCAGCTAGACTGGCAGCCAGGAACCCTGCTGGAGGTTTGTGCCTTCACCTCCCCAGCTCTGGGCCCGCCAGCATGACAAACTTTTCCACATGGCTTAGCACTGAGATCCTAATGTTGATCTGGCAAACACTTGTCACGTGAGCCATCCCCCTGCCCTCTTGAGTCTTTTTTTAAACTCCTTTATCACTGATGCTAAGAACCGGAAAAAGAGAGCCTTGGCTCTTGAGCAGCATTGGTAGGATTTTGTCTGTGAGTTTCAACCACAGGTGCCACAATGACTTGAAGGACATCTGAGTCACCCTCTCACGCCTGGACACATAAGTCAGGAGCTTGGGCCAGGGCTGAAACCAGTGAGCTATACAGTTGAGAGTTTGACTCAGGCACTTGGGTCCTCCTCTGCAGAGTCCTTCGAGGTCCTCTCTGGACAGTGTTCTGTTGCTCCTTAGCATCAGGAGAGGTGTCCAGACCCTCCTGGTCCTTCCTGTTGAGTTAGGAGTGCTGTCCATGGTGGTAGGAGTCTGTCTGTCTATCTGTCTGTCTGTCTTGCTTTTTAAAACAGGGCTTTTCCGGATAGCCTTGGCTGTCGTGGGCTCACCTTATAGACCAGGCTGGCTTCGAATTCACAGAGATCTGCCTGCCTCTGCCTCCCCGAGTGCTGGGATTACAGGCGTGTGCCACCACGCTCAGCTTAGCTCACTGTATCTTAATGGATGGGTTGTTACTGTTTACAAAGTGCTGAAATCATTCCATAAGTGGAATGATTTCATTCTTTTAAAGCTTTAAAAAATTATCATAAATATTTTAAAACATACATTTTAGACTTTCTAGCCAAAAGTAACTACTGACCTTTTTAATTCATTCACTCAGAAAAGTAACTACTGACCTTTTTAATTCATTCACTCAGCATGTGCCCTTTTACTGGCCCCTGCTGCTGTTCGTTGTTGTGGTTTTAGATGATACTTCTTTGGCCCGGCTCATCAAAAATGTAGCTGGGTACATGTCTGTAATCCCAGCACTCAGGGAGGCAGAGGCAGGCGGATCTCTGTGAGTTCGAGGCCAGCCTGGTCTGCAAAGCAAGTCCAGGATCAGATGTAAGCTCTCAGCTCCTGCCACAGCACCATGCCTGCCTGCCTGCCTGCTTGCTTGTCTGCTGCCGTGCCCCTTGCCATAATGGCCATGGACTCACCCTCTGACACTGTAAAGCCTCATTACATGCTCTCTTCCGTAAGTTGCCTTGGTCGTGGGGTTTGTCACAGCCATAAGACCCAAGGTCCCTAAAAGAAACACAGAGACTGTTTCCTCTTCTATTCGGCCCTCTCCCGGGTCATTCTCATTTCACTGCTCCTGTACCTCCAGGTTGTATGAACAATAAAGTGTGAAGTTGGTCCGACTGGCATAGTCATTTCTTCCAGTGATGGGAACAAGACTAGACTGTCAGGTTAAGAGAATTCAGTGTCCAAGTGGGTTACCTAGTAATGGAAAGAGGGACTGCCTCTGACATAATCTGATTGGCCTGCTCTTTGATCACCTCCCCCTGAAGGGGGAGCAGCCTTACCAGGCCACAGAAGAGGACAATGCAGCCACTTTTGATGAGAACTGATAGACTAAGATCAGAAGGAAAGAGAGGAGGACCTCCCCTATCAGTGGACTTGGGGAGGGGCATGCATGCAGAAAGGGGAGGGAGGGTGGGATCGGGAGGGGAGGAGGTAGGGGCTTATGGGGGGATACAAAATGAATAAAGTGTATTTAATAAAAAAATAAAAAAAGTTAAAAAAAAAAAAGAGAATTCCTTTTTATCCATATGTTGAGAGCTGAGCCTCCCTAAATGACAGATTGCCACAGTCTAGGTGTAAAAATCAACCTACAAGGAAAGGAGATGGGCAGAACAAAACAGGCCATTATCTGGGATACTGCCATCTTCCTGAGGATCCAGCAGGGGGCAGACGTGCCAATCACTGGTATCTGAAAGCTCAGGCCAGCCTCCCAGTTATAGCTCCTGGGGCTGGATTGGCTTTTACTCTCCAAAGTCACTGTGGGTGGGGCTTTATGGTTCGGTAGTAGGCTCCTCTAGGGGCGGGGCAGAGCTGCTGGCTAGCTGCTCTCAGTCCCACCATTCTGAGTACTGCTATCTCAAAGTGGAGTCTTCTCCCACAGTGGCCTGACTGCGGTCTCCAAGGCTGGAGTAGTTATCATGCCCGTGATCCTGGGTTATTGGGATATCCGTGGAGTGAGTGGAAGGCTGGGCTGCTAGGAGGGAAGGGCACAAGGCTGGGTTCCAGGAAGATTCCCAACAGGTTTTCCTTGAGCCCCTCTCTGTACCCATCTGTGTCAGAGCGACTCTGCCCAGTCCAACCTCGCTCCTTGCCTCCTTGCGTTTCTCCCTCTCCCCCACCTTTCTTTTTCATAAAAGGTGGGGAGGCGTTCCTAGAGGAGGTGAAGCCACACACGGAGGACCTCACTAACTGTGACTTTTGTTACCGGCCACCTCTCACAGCTGGGTCACGCCATCCGCCTGCTCCTGGAATACACAGACACGAGCTATGAGGAGAAGCGATACTCCATGGGGGATGGTAATGACATTCTTCTGCTCAGGCTCTTCCCCAACTTCTGTCTACCGGTGCCCAGCCGCTTCTGCCTGGTTCTCTGTTCCTCAGCTCTGCAGATCTCCTCCAGATGAACGCAGGGCTATTCCCTTACAGAAACCTCCTTGAGGGTGCAGCCTTGTTTTTCAGCATAGAATCTTGGTTGTGGGAATCTGGCCCTTTTCTGACTGTAATTGGGGAGGTCTGCCCCGTACTGGCTTAGTGCTTTTGTAGCCTCAGTCATGAAAGGCCTATAGCCATGAAAACATGATTCAAGTGTACAGCTTTGGGATGAAAGACTTCCTGGGTCACTCCGCATATTGCCTGCACAAGGGGTCCTGCCCCTGACTTCTTGGGAGGGTTCTGGGGAAGGAGGTTTTAGACTCGGTGCCTTCTTTTCCCATCGTCTTGTCTACCGCAGCTCCTGACTATGACCGAAGCCAGTGGATGAATGACAAACTCAAGCTGAACCTGAACTTTCCCAATGTAGGTGCAAGGAAGGGGAGGTCTGGGGAAGGCGTGGTGGTCTCACCTCATCTCCTTACCTGGCTGAGGGGGTTTGGGATCAGTGTCTCTGCTCTCCTGCTCCCATCCCTGCTGGTTGCACAGTGTTTCTGTGATGGGCTGTGTCCATTCAGTGTGCACCTGTGCCAGGCCCCATGTCTGTCCCCGACCCATGAAAGGGAGGAAGGTGTACCCTCTCACTGTCACTGCTTGTCCTCCCAGCTGCCCTACTTAATTGACGGGTCACACAAGATCACCCAGAGCAACGCCATCCTGCGCTACCTCGCCCGCAAGCACAACCTGTGTGAGTGGGGCTGGCTGCAGGGATGGGGGCAGAAGCCATCCCTCTTGGCTTGGCTTGGCTGGGGCGGGAGGCTGAGGGTGAGTCTGTGCTGTGTGTCCTGCAGGTGGGGAGACAGAGGAGGAGAGGATCCGTGTGGACATTTTGGAGAAACAGGCCATGGACAGCCGCATTCAGATGGGCACACTCTGCTACAGCCCCGAGTTTGTGAGTCCCCACTGTATGACAGACAGGGTTTGCAGGAGGAGTTAAAGGCCCGTGTTCATACCCATACTTGTCCTCTTTGGAATTTGAACCCAGAGGGCTTGTGTGAGGGTTGTGACAACTGTTTTCAATCTCAGGAGAAACGGAAGCCAGAGTTCTTGAAGGGCCTCCCAGATCAGTTGAAGCTCTACTCTGAGTTCCTAGGGAAGCGGCCATGGTTTACAGGGGACAAGGTAAAGAGGGCAATAGGTAGGGGGAGGAGTTGCCATTCTTCCCAGGTCACCAGATCCCATCCCACTGACCCTCACTTCCTGCAGATCACCTTTGCGGATTTCCTAGTCTATGATGTCCTTGACCAGCACCGAATGTTTGAGCCCACATGCCTGGACGCTTTCGCAAACCTGAAGGACTTTGTGGCCCGCTTTGAGGTGCTCTGATCCTGCTTCCTCTTGGATGTCCTTCCCTTCCCTTTTCCCAGGATGCTTCCCTCTTCCCTAGGGTTAAAAGAAGGGTAACAAGGACCTGCTGAGCGCTGGCTTTCTGCCAGGAACTGTGCTCAGCCTCTTAAACTTGGGGATTTATTATCTGTGTCAATTTATCATTGCAACAGGTGGCAATGTGGTTAGATTAGTTGTCTCACTGGAAAGGTAAGGAACCTGAGACTGTGGCGGGTAAGCTGCTTGCCCAAAGTCACCATTAGAGGCTGTTCTAGGCTCCTGACTGCTTTTCGCTTCTAAAGGCAGCATTCATTGTCTCTTTCTGATTTGTGCCAAAAAGTCAGTCAGGCCTCTGGATTGCCTGGGTCTCCTGCCCAGGACCTGTGGTATGAGGAACATGTGAAGAACTGTGTTTGTTCCCGCAAACATTAGTCTGAGACGAAGGCAGACTGATGTGCAGGACCAAGACATACACGGTGGTCGTATGTGATTGGTGGTGTCAGTTGTGTCGCTGACCTGGGATGTCCTGTGACCCAGGGCTGTTCCTGTGGAAGACTTTAGCTTGGGTTCTGTTGGTGGGTGTGCTCTTCCCTCCCTCTCTTTATGAAATGAGGTCATACTTTTATTTTTATTCAGATTTTTTTTGGGGGGAGGGGGAATTTTCCTCTGTGTGTGGCACAGTATCCGGCTCAGCAGGACATGCAAAAATGTCCCTTCATCCTGGGACCGAGTGAAGCTGGTAGCCACAGGCACAATAGACTGTGAGAGGCCTGTGAGATTAGCGGATGCCTGGCCCTCACTTCACAGTTAATCACGGGCCACGCTGAACCCCCTGGCTTGACCCAAGATGTATTATTTTCAGATTTGTATATCGGAGGCATTAGCATAGAAACCGATCTCAGCTGGGAAGTGTTTCTCCTTCCCCATTCCTCATGAAGGGATGTATTTCTTTTTTAGTTAGTTCTCATCACTGTGGTTCTGGTCCACGTGGAATGGCCTTGGGAGCGTGCAGGAGCTGGCCTGCCTGGGGAGGGCACTAGAAGCACTTGTGGAGTGCAGAGGCCCACGGTCCAGCACTGATGGGTGTGACTTTGGGGGCTGGTAGCTCCGGCTTTTATTGATCTTTAGGCCTGACCTATGCACTCTTGGCTGAGGTGTCCTCTAGCACACTCTACTGTACCAGAGCTAGACACAGAGGTTGGTGGGGCTCAGGGAGCTTGTGCTCAGGGCTCAGGTGGAGAAGTTTTAGCTTCAGGTGAACAGTTGGAGCTGGCCATGCCTTGCTTTGTGGTCCCCTCAGCCTTTTCCACTTATACTCAGGATTTGCTGAATCACTGGGTGGGACCTGGGCTCTCTTCCAGGCCACACACACAAGTCCTCAGCTCTTTTGGTTTCTGGATCCTTGATTCCTTTCATTGTGGGCATGTCAGTGCAGCCAGGAGTGACAGTGCCCCCTACAGGAGGCAGGAGAGGAGTGCACAGAGGGCAGAGTGGGTGGAGCACAGAGCCACAGAGCTGGGCTGACCCTCTTAGGCATGGGAGGATGAGGAAGTTTCTTAACCTCTGGGTACCTCAGCATCCGTGCTTAAAGCTGGTGATGGTGGGACTGATTTTGCAGGGTGGCTGGGTGGATTTTCTGCGCCTGAATCTTAAGGTCTCTTGGCTGTTCCCAGAGTGGGTTTGCAGACCTGAGGTCCTGGTTTCTCCTTCTCACCTGCAGGGCCTGCCGAAGATCTCTGCCTATATGAAGACCAGCCGCTTCCTCCCAAGTCCTGTGTACTTAAAACAGGCCATGTGGGGCAACAAGTAGATCGTGCACTGCCAGTACTGGTAGGGAAGATCTGTCAGTCAGTGCACCCGTCACCCTGGACACTGACTGTGCCACAGTTAGCCTCCAGCAACTTCTCTACATCAGTCTTCCCATTTGTTTCTGTCTTTCCATGACTTTCCCCTCTACAAGGGCTCCTTTTCTCCCCCTTTTACACTGCCTCTTGTCACTCAAGCGTCCTAATTTCAGCTCCCTGTCCTCAGCAAAGTCCTTTTCTTCCCTTATTTCTTTCTGACATGTTTCTAACCAGACAACCTTTCACTATGCTTTAAGCAGCTCAGCTGATGCCTTATTCCCCACTGTTTCCCAAAGATCCACACTGCCTAGGATGCAGGCTCAGTCTCCAGAGCGGGGTGGCCTGGCCTTGTTTGGTCGTTAATAAAGTATGAGCCACACTTGCTCTGTGTCCTGTCTTATTGCCTGTGATTCTCAGGAGTGACTGAATTGATGTGGCTGGGTGGTCTTTGTTCTGTTAGTCACAAATATGGCTAGATGATGGGAATATGGCGGTGGGAGGCGGGCTCTAAGGCAGGTAGAATGTAAGACCAAACACATGGGGTTGGAAAAATAATTAATCCATTAAGAGCGCTTCCTGTTCTTGCATAGGACCTGTTCCCCCCACCTACATGGTGGCTCACAATGGCCATAACCCCAGCTCTAAGGAATCTGATGCCCTCACAATATACTTGGTGCCCTTGAACATAGGCAAGCAGACACATATACATACATAGATAAATCTTTTCTTAAGAAGAGAGATCATGATGTCCCCTGATGGTGTTCACTTGGGATTCTTATAGGAGGGTGCTCCTTCCATACCAGCGTTCCTCATTCGTCACCCTGCAGTGTTCAGTGCTTCAATACACCTGGGAGTCTTGCTCCAGAGAGGTGCCAGGCTGATGGGCAGCGGCTGAGCAGGTTCCAGGTCCAGCATCTGCCCTCACGGTCTCTCTTTCCAAGATGTTTCACTATAAATATTCCCTGCAGTTGGTGATCGTGTTGTGGAAATCTTTAACAAATTAAATCATCAGTTCATTGAGGAAGGATCCTGGCCTTGTTGATATGTATGACAGTGTCTGGTGTGCCGTTAATGTTTAGGAAATTGTGCGAGTTTTCTTTCAGGTATGCTTACGCCAATGCTTGGAGTAAGAACTCATGGTTCCCAAGGAGGCATAGAATAATGTACAGGAAGTTTTTCATGTAGAGGTGTTGAAGCCTAACCCACAGGCCCTTTCTCACGTAAGCACTTATGATGCTGCAGCTGACCTTGAGCACGGTCAGGTCTCCTTCCCTAGGTCCCAGAGTGAGAATGTGTGATTAGAGGTGCCATTGGATCACCCACAAAGCAGATGAATTCACTGAAGAAGCAGCCGATAAGCAGGATCCTCGATGGCAGCCAGATTGTGGATTCTGGCTTTTGTCAAGTACTTCCTGCAACCTACCTGTAACTACAAACGAGTTGGAGGACAGCATTGTCCACATGCCATTTCAGCTGCTGCTTGTGACAGCAGTTATGAAATAAGCACTCATAGGCAGATGTGAGTGTCACTGTGAAATAAGAGATTAATTAAATGCTGAAGATTGTAAGATGGAGAGTTCATTGAAGAGAAATATTTATTAATCTGCCAAGATCAAAATCTTTTAAGCCAGCCTTTATTAAACACTAACTTAAACACAGATGCAACGTCAGGAAAAAAGATAAGTTAATAGAATTATGCAAATGTTGAGTAGATAGAAATGTTAAACCAGACTAATATTATTATCACTCTATATCAGAAGCTGAAAAAATACTTTCCATGGATGGTCAATAGTTCCTAACATTATGAGTAAGTGTGTGTGTGTGTGTGTGTGTGTGTGTGTGTGTGTGTGTGTGTGTGAGAAAGAGAAAGAAGACAGAGAGACAGAGAGAGAAAGTTGTGTGTGCCTTTATGTGGAGGTCAGCAGTTGATAATCAGGTTATTTTCCTCAAGTTCTCTCTCTCTTACTTTTTGAGACAAGATCTCTCATTGAACCTGAGACAAGATCTCTCACTGAACCTGGCTTCCACTGTTTGGCTAAAGCTGTCTACAGTGTAAATTCAGAGAATGTTCATTTCCCCAGCAGTGGGATTATAAATTCACATCACAGCAGGTGGCTTGACCCGTGCAAAGGACTGAATTCACGTCCTTGTGCTTTCATGGCATACAAACATTTTATAGACGTGGTCATCTCCCCATCCTTTCCTGGTTCTTTTTAATACCTCTGCTGGATGTCAAACTCCACATAATGAATCCGTCTGGCTGTGTTCTGTTGAACATATCTGTATGCACAGGTTATTGCCACAAAGACCGAAAAACTCAAACCTGGGCAAAGGACTCGAATAGACATTTTTCGAGAGGGGACGTACAATTGTTAATAAGCACATAAAAGTTGCTCAAAATCACTAATCATTGGAGAAACATAGCATGAAGATATGCGACACACATATGAGGTTAGCCACTCCCAAGTAGGAGATGATGGCAGACCCGGTGATTACATGGAGTAACTGTGAAGGCTTTTGCCTTGTTCCTAGGAATATGACATGCTACAGCGATTGTGAAAATTAGACTGTTAGAAATTAGTTCCTTAAAAGAAGGAGGAGGGGGATAATTACTATGTGACATATCAATTCCTTTTCTGGATACATACTCAACGTAATTTGAAATTCATGAACACACATATACATATGTGTTACATATATATATATATATACACACACATGGGGGGCCATATGCTTAGGCAGAATATTATGATTATCAGATGTTGGTATAACGTTCTTGTGGAATGTATACAATTTACCCTTGTTCATTCAAATGCTGATTTCTCTACCCTACTATCTGGTTTCAATAAGACATTGCATTGTGATGTTTATTCTAAGCACCACCTGTATAAGCATCCCGTGTCTCAAGTTTGTGTAAACATGCCACCATTTGTTCTCTACATTATCAATTAAACAACCAGCCTCAATGATGAGCAATGGAGAGAATAGGGTGGGACATCCTGGTCCAGAGGGGGTAGACAGGAAGCAGGAAGGAGGAGCAGAGATTGGCAGGAGTGGACTTGGAACCCCAAGGGGGGATGAACCAGACCTAAGACATGACTAAAAGCAAGCATAATGGGTGAAATGTAAATGGTAGGAAACTATGCGGGCTTGGAGGTTTAGGATGGAGTAATTGCCCAGCATTGTGCTCTAGGTTAATTAAATAAATCCCAGTCTCTGAGTGGTGGTTTGGTTATACAGTTGGTTTAGGAATAACCGCTGATTAACTAAAAAATAAATCAATAGTAAATATTAATAACCCACAATAGTCAGGGGTAAAGCAGGGACTTGTTTCACTTCTTGGTGGATAAGAAGCAGAGAGCATGACATGAAGAGGCCTGAGAGTGTACATCTGCAAGGACCTGTCCCCAGTCCATCTTCTCGTATGGGAAGAGTCCAGGGGTCTGGGCAGCTCTGCTCCATGGAGTCTTTCAGGGCCTCAGCCTCCTTCCACCTGTGGCCCCTCCCTTCCCTAGGGTGCTTCCTCTTTGCTGGGTTTTAGGGTTTGAAAGGAGAAAGGGGCTGGAGGGAGAAGTGTTGAGTCAGATTATCCTTCAGGCAAGAACCTTATCAACACATGAAGGAAGGGAGGAAGCACAACAGAGTGGGTTCTGAAGTCCCAGGCTTGTTCTTTTAAGGTCCCACGTGAGGACAACTGGACAGGGAGAGTGGTGTGACAGAAGAAAATGGGTTCAAGGTCAGCTGATACCACCTAACTAAACTAAGAGAGATTGTGCGTTTTTTGTATTTCTCTTTGAAAAGTTCCAAGGCTATTTCTGGATAAGGGCTTCTGGAAGAACAAAGGGCCTAGCCAATTTGTGATAGGGCAGTTGTTACTTGTACTCCTCTGTTAGGGCTATGCTATCTGGAAGGGCCCTTGTGAGAGGGACCTTGTCTCTCTCTGTGCTTTGTCTGACACTCCTGTCCTTGGATGAACTTATCTCAAGTATGGGAAGGAGAGAGAAAAACAAGCCCAAACAGAGGCAGGAAATTCCCCTCTGCAGGTGAGGCAGAGGCCAGACACATCTCATTGCTGAGGTGCAGTTTGGCAGTCACAAGATTACCTAAAATGGTGCCATCTTGTGCTACCATTGTATCAAGCACAGTATGTGTGAATGGGGCTGACTGCAGGTTGTAGGGGACGATGGCCAAGCCTTGGGTTTATCTGAAGGTAAGGAATGAAATGTCTTCTATCATTGTGTGGGCTACGCACGTGGGAGTGTGAGATTGAGCTGAAACAGTAAAACAATTGTCTCACACCTGAGAGTCTGAGAATCCTGGAGTTGTTCAGTTCATGGTCCTACGCACCTGAGCAGTTCCAATGCGGTGTCATCAAAGATTGGGAAGGCTCCTACAGAGCAGCAGGTCCTCAGTCACTGTTGGAAGCCTGGAAATGCTGGTTCTGACATCAACAAAGAAATCATCATCATCATCATCATCATCATCATCAGCAGCAGCAGCAGGGTAAATTAACTCAATGGCAAGAGGAGAGGTGTTTTGCTACTTTTGCTGTAATAAACACTAAGACCAAAGCCACTTATAGAAGAAACAGTTCATTGGGGATTCCAGTGTTGGAGCGTGACTGCATGATCAGCACGGCTGGGAGAATGGCAGCAGGCAGACAGGCAGGCAAGCATGGCAGTGGAGCAATAGCTGAGTGCTTAGTTTATCTGCAAGCATGAGGCAGAGAGAAAGCTAAAGGGAATGGTGTAGGCTTTGGAACCCTCAAAGCCAGTCCCTCCAACAAAACCGTACTTCCTCCAACAAGGCCACACATCTCCTAATCCTTCCCAAACAGTTCCATCAGCTGGGACCATTCTTATTCAAAACACCACAGAAGAACAGGCCAGCAGAGGGGGATGATCTTACTTTCTCCATCCCCTCTCTTGAACCTGATAAGTCTTTCTACATCATTTAAAACAATCAAGACAATTCCTTCAGTGGGCCTCCCTGCTCAGGTGGTTCTAGGTGGTGGCAGGGTGACATTTTAAAGAGACAACTCGGGTGGTCACATCCCAGATCTGCTACAGGAGGTCCGCCACATCCCAGACTGTGTGAATCTTCTCATTCCTGCTTGACAGGGCCAGGTATGGTTTGGACCATGAGTCAGGACTCTGGAATTCCCATCCACACAGGCTCCATTTCTCCTCCGAAGTCATTCGTACTACTCACAATCCTGTTCATTCCAAATGCTGCCTCAAAGTCCCTGATCACATCCCACTGTATCAAGAGAACACTATTATTCAGAGCCCGTCAATGTCAGGACAGAGTGGACTCACCCAGAGTGGACCTCAGAGAGTAGGGTCTGTGTCTAGAACTCTCTCCCGTCTCAGTTTTAGCCTCAGTATCTCCTCAAATCAATAGTATTTATTTCTTCTTCTGCATCCCCATCAAACTGAATTTTGACTTTTGAGCTCCAACAAGCCCTTTTAGGTTTTATTTCACCCAGTGTTGGCATCCAGACTCGCCAAGTGCCTGTATGCACCCGTAGGTTGCTGTTGGCATGTGAAGTCGTGACATATTTGGAGATCATCTTCATGTGGACCCTGCCACATGGGGTCTGGAACCAAGAGGAGCCCCATAAACGCTGTTATTACAGTGAGGTTTGGACACTTGCCATTTTCTAGTCTTGGGGAAGATGGCTGCTCCCCCTGGCCAGACTGGGGCAAGCGCAGAGCTGTAACGTGTGCTCGCCTCTGCTTGGCAGCTTGTATCTGAGGATGGTGACAGTAATGTTCTGCTTTAGGTGAAAGGAAGCCAGTGTACTTAGAGCGCCTCACTGAGATGATGAGGACTCTTCTTCCAGGTTCTGGAAACAGCTATGGTTGGCAGAAGCCGAGGAAAAGGTGAGATGAAAGTGTGTGGAGGTACTGTGTCCAAGGATACAGTTGCTAGCCCTCCTCTTGGTCTTCAGATTACCTATGCTGCTGTTCTTCCTTCTGATGGATGTTATCACATATTCCTTTCTTCTATACTTCTGTGTGCATTCCCTGTCACTAGAGGACTGCATTTCTTCTCAAATGAATGTTTTTTTTTTTCCTCTGAATCTCTCCCCACAGTTTGTTCCTAAACATGGAGTTGAAATGAAAAATAACTACCACTACTGAGCGCTTTATTCCAGGACCTGTGCTCACGTCCTATGTCTTTGGTTCCAATGAATCATAAGAACATTTCCACAAGGCAGATGGAATTACCAATCTCATTGGACAGATACAGAAGCCAACTGTAGAGATTCAGTCACCTGATTAAGGACCTAGTCCTAGTGATGGCTGTGTGGGACTTCCCTGTTGGTCTCTGAGTTTTGAGGCTAGCAGGCAGTGACTACTGTTTTGAACCAAAGGAAAGGCCTCAGGTCATTGCACAGGTTGTGTTTCCCAGTCCAGGATCCTTGGCAGGGGGCGAACATGTTAGGCATGGCTTTAGGAAGTGGAGATAAAGGCTGGAGGTGAAGTGTCACAGACAGTATTCATATTCCCTCTGCAGAATACTGTACTGACTTAATGGAGAAACACTGAGACCCAAGGACATAGTTGGTGCTAGATTTGAGGAGACATGTAGGAGACCCAGTTGGAAGCGTGTGTGTATGTATGTGTGTGAGTGAGTGTATGAGGGGACGGAGGACATTGGGGGTCCTCTAGCACTTTCCACTGTATTCCTTTGAGGCAGGGTCTCTACTTGAATGTGGTAGCAGATCAGCTCATGTTTTCAAGATGTGCTTTTAGCCAGCAAGCTCCAGCCATGCTCCATTCCTCAATGCTATGGTTACAGGTGGGCATGAAACTATGCTAAACCTGCTACTTGGATACTGGGATGAGAACTCAGGTCCTCAGACTGCATAGCAATCACTAACCACTGAACTGTCTCTCCAGCCCCCTGCAAGATTAGAAGATTGAAATCCTGGAATTAAATGCGGGCACTTGCATTCCCTCTCAAGACTTTCTTCCTTCATTCTCTGCGTGTTTTGTTTTATATCTGTGAAATGGGGCTATATACTTATTTTCATTGATACTCAGTAATCCTCTTTGTACGAAGCACAAAGACATGCAAAGATGACCCTCCATCCAGTGACTAAGTACAGCAGAGAGCAAGAGGCACACAAGTCATGACATCAAACTGGCTGGCTACTGGGAACCTTCATGTCACAGCTAGCCATGGGTCTTCCAGAGTCTTCTTGATATGTACAGAATCTGCTGTGTTAGAGAGTCAGAGAGTGGATGCATCAGCATAACAGGTATGCAGTATTCTCTCCAACAAATGCCCCACTTTCTCAGATTCTCTTTGGCTCTGGTTCTGTTGTGCAAACATTGGCGAGGCTATAGCTATCACAGGAACGAACTAGAGAGCTGAGGGCTGCAGCCCAAGGTCTGCTGCACCTGACTCCTTGATTACAGGCTGCCCAAGGTCTCTGAACACTGTAGAGAGTATCTGAGCAGGCTCTCCTGGCAAGATGGAACAAAACACACCTAGTGTGTCTTGGCACGGTGCTTTGTAGCAGGGATGGATAGGAGGCAGCTTGGGGGCTCAGTGAGATCGGTCTGAGGCTCCACACAGACCGGGTTGGGCCTCTACTTTCAGGAGAGCTATTAGAGCTGGCTCAGCATTTCCAAGCTGCCCCTCCTCCCCTTGTGCATTTCATGCAGGGTTTGCGAGGCCTCTGGCCCACATCTGGGCTCTCTGCTCTGCTGCATAGCCTGTTCTGGATGTCCTTGTCCTCTTACAAGTAGTTTCTGTGTGAACCAGCAAGGAGGATGTTCCCTGGGAAAAAGGGTCACATTTCTGAAGACAAGGAGTGACAGGCTCTCCTGTGAGAAGACAGGAGGGGACTGGGCATAGAGGGCACAGAATGAGAGCCCTAAGGCCAGGCTGACTCATGTCCCTGTTCCATGGACTAGCAGGAGGAAGCTACCTAACTGCTCTGGACTACCTCTTTGCTGATAACTAGGCATGGTCAGACAGATCCTAGGGTTATTTTATGACTATTAGGGTGTAAAACATCCCCCTCTCATGCAGTCTCCCCTTCTTCACAGGAAATTGAAGAATTCACTTTCCAGAGAGCTTGCTCTAGAGCCCACAGGGAGAGGCTGTTCATGGAGTAGAACTAAGAGGTCCAGTGGGGACATGGCCTTGAGCTCCTTTCTGCCTTCTCCTCCCTCACAGGGCCTGGAGCAGATCCCTGCCTGTGCAGCTGCTTCTCCCAGACCCGTGCTCACAAAGATAACCACTAAAATGGACACGTGGGGCGAACTGTTAGGGCCTGGACAGGACAAAAGGTGGGAGTGAGAACTCGTTTCTCTTGTAGTATGTGTGTGTGTGTGGGGGGTGTGTGCTCAGTAGCAGCCACTCCCCTGCTGCCCTGGCACCAGCTTCTCTTTCTCTATCCTTTTTCATTCCTCTTCCTGTCTCCAAGGTCTCACCTGCCCATTTTTTTCTCCCTGATCCCTGTCCCATTCTTGCCTTTTTAAAGCCCCAGCTTCTTCTTTTCCTTCAACAAAGTGGCCTCCTGAAGTGACTGTCCCCAAGGCTTGCCTGACCGTCCTGTCTGACAGTGGCTGTGCTGTGCTGAGAAGCCAGTGGATCCGCTCTTATCCTCTCTAGAGGCTGGCTCTGCACCACCAACACGTGCGTCACAGAGACATATGCTATCTGCAGTATTCCCCAGGGAGGTCCCTGCATGGCCCTCTCTAGTTCCCATAAAGCTTGAGTCACACTTGCTTTGGCTGTCATGCGTACCAGCTCCCACCATTGCCTCTAAGGACGGCCCGGAGGCCCTAACAGTGCCTGGTTCATAAGGATTCTAGAGGACTAAGAAGGATACCCCCCCGAGGAGGCACCTTCGCAAGGTCTCTAGAACATGAAGGGCACCCTTTGTGGCTGGGATCTTGTCCATTCCACTGTGTTACTGAGATTTTCAAGTTAATGAAAATCAGGTCTAAAACAATATATCAGTACAATGATTATCTCAAACTAGGGAAGCTTTTCTCACCTTCAGGTACATTTTAAACCAACCAACATAAAATATGTTTAAAAAATAAAGATCTGAGTGAGTTGATGGTACCTCCTAAGAGAGACAGGCATGGTGCCCCATGCTCTTAATCTCAGCACTTAGGAGCTGAGGCAGGAAAACTGAAGCTAATTCACAGCCAGCCTTGATTACACACACAGAGTTCCAAGGCCAGCCTCTGAAGCCACCTCAAAAAAGAAAAAGAAAAACAAAACAAAACAAAAAACCAGAACATGTGTTACTCAAGAATTAGGGGAAAGGTTTTTAAGGCTTTGTAAAGAGAAATGGGTTCCATCAATTGTCATAAATTACAGGTCCACATGAACAACAGAGATGATTATAAATCGCAGTTCCTTCAGGATCTTACTCACCCCCAGGACAGTGCTGAAGAGAAAGAAAACGGCATCTTGGTTATAAGCCTTTGCATTCGTGCTGGGGAGAGTCAAAGGTGGCATGAGGGAAGAAGGGGAGAGGGGAAAGGCGGGCTGTGTAGGAAGGAGGTTGGAAAGGGCACCTGGACACGGAAGCAGCTGTACTACACGGGTGATCCGTGTGTACTTCTTCTTTTGTGAATTTTCTCAAAGTCTAATATATCAAAATAAAAAACTGAGAAAGAAGAGACACATTTATCATGTGATTCAGGACACGCGCGTGCGCGCGCGCGCGCACACACACACACACATACACACACACTTCAATACACCTAATTGAAGTAAATTTCATCAGAAAGACTTATCTTGCATGCATGAACATATTTACACTATCTTGTTCTCTAGCTCTTCGTTTTTCATGTATTCACAATATAAGAGATAATTTTCCCCTCAGTACACATTTGTCAAGGTCCCAGGCCTTCTGAATTGTCATCACTGGGCAGTGCTGCTGACATCTAGACTAGGTAGAGAACTCTCGGTAGAGAACAGCAGCCCTACCGCGGAAAGGGAGCGGGGCCACTAACAAGAGGCAGGCAAGCCCAGCCCAGCCTTCCGCTTTTGGCGGCCAGCCAAGCTCAGGCTGCCTTGGCTCAATTTCTGCTGGGGCGGGCCTGGCCCATTCCTGGACTTCGGGATTGGTCGAGTTGGGGGTGGGGAAGGGCGGTCTGAAGACCAGTCCCTCCGTTGCTGGCAGCCCTCGGGAAAGTCGGAAAGTCGGAAAGTCGAGGCCGGATCGACACTGAGCCCTCTCAGACCACGACACCATGCCCATGACCCTGGGTTACTGGGACATCCGTGGAGTGAGTGAGGGGTCCGAACGCTGGGTAGGACTTGGAGGAGGGGCAAAGACGCACGCAGTGGACGAGTTTGAGGAGGAGGAGGTTGTCTTGCAGGGGTGCGTGTGCGTGTGCGTGTGTGTCCAGATGCTCGTGACCATGCATGGCCAGGAATGAGGACTCATCTGGAGTGGGTGAAGAACCTCACCATCTCTAGTCTTCTCTCACAGCTGGCCCATGCCATCCGCCTGCTCCTGGAGTACACGGACTCAAGCTATGAGGAGAAGAGATACTCCATGGGGGACGGTGACTGCATCTTTCCTAGTCAGATCCCTGTCCACTCCTGTCCACTGGTGCCCAGCCACCCGCGCCCAGCCACCCCACTGCTCAGCTCACCTTCTTGTTGGATATAGACTATGCCCCTTCCAGAGCCCTTAGGCGTGGTTTAATTTACCAACGGAAGATACTAAGGAAAGATTTGAGAGGCCTCCGTATTTATAACTGGATTCCATTTCCTTGGCAATTGGCTAAATCCGTTGTAAGCTTTAGCGATGAAGGAGCCCACCGCCCTTACAAACATCTTCATCTCTGAAACCTTGCAGTGTGCTTGCCTGGGTCAGCTTGAGGGTCTACTGCCTCAGAGAGCTTTGTCTTTGACTCCTCGGGAGGGTCTTGGGAAAGGGGTCCTTTGATTTCACACTATCTTGTCCACCACAGCTCCTGACTTTGACCAAAGCCAATGGTTGAATGAGAAATTCAAGCTGGGCCTGGACTTCCCTAATGTAGGTGCAGGGAAGGGGAGGTTTGGAGAAGGTGATGGTCCCCTAGTTAACACAGATGAGAAGGTCTGGGATTAGTCCTTGTGCTTTTATGTGCTCATTCCTGGTTGTACATACCATCGTTCTGGGATGGGCTGTATTCCAGCTCTTCCATTCAGTGGGCAGCGTCTTCACAGAAGGTTTTCTCTGCCACGCACACTGAGTGCCAGGCCCCACGTCTGTCATCACCCAAGGAGGGAATTCTGGGACCTCGTATCCCATCTGACCATCCCTGCTTGTCCTCCCAGCTGCCCTACTTAATTGACGGGTCACACAAGATCACCCAGAGCAACGCCATCCTGCGCTACCTTGGCCGCAAGCACAACCTGTGTGAGTGGGGCTGGCTGCAGGGTGGGGGATGGTGGCCACCCCCCTTGGGCTTAGCCGGGGTGGCATGTTGAGAGTGTGTCTGTGCTGTGTTTGTCCAAGGTGGAGAGACAGAGGAGGAGAGGATCCGTGTGGATATTCTGGAGAATCAGCTTATAGACAACCGCATGGTGCTGGCGAGGCTTTGCTATAATGCTGACTTTGTGAGTCCTATTCAGGCCTGGATGAGGTGGGGGAGCCAGAGCCTGTACCCTTGTCTTCTCGTCTGCTCTGCGTCTTTAACATCTCAGCTTCCTGGTGTCGCTCACCTATAAATGGTGTTCTGAACTGCCAGCTGAGTCACGGTGGCACAGTTTGGAGGCAGAGACAGAACGACTAAGGTTAAGGCCTTCCTGGTTACATAGCCAGATACTGTCTCAAAATAAAAAAACACCAAAATAAAACCAACCCCTCCATGCACACACACACACACACACACACACACATACACACACACACACTATCTGCCAACAGAGTAACCCTCAAACCTCAGAGTCTTGTCAAATGAAACTCCCAATGAACTGCACTGCTTTTAACAACCAGAGTAAAAGTTCCACAGTCAAGCATCAGTATCTGGGGAGTAAAGACTGTGTTTAGAATATCTCAGCTCTGACTGTCCAATCCTGCCCTGGGTTATGCCTTCCATTCGGCTTCAATCAGTACTGCTTCTATAGTACACATTCAAAGCATGAGAAAAGGTAATGCAACCCGGAAACAGAAGGGAGCCATCGCCTGGGGACTCCTCCCAACCAGATTTCCAGAGCCATGTTCAGATGCTCATAGTCTTATGTCCATGTTCCCAATAGGCAATTCATGGCCGATCAACCCTCCCCTCCCCTGGTTTCCTTCTCCCCTCTCAAATTCCCTTCACCTTTTGTGAAATTGCACCACAGTCCTGCCCTTCAGCTTTTTTTCCCCACAGTGCCTTGCTTCTTTGACTCACATAACAAGTGAGTGCACAGCCTGCTCACACAGTCCTGAGCGTGGCCCATAAGAATTGTTCTGAACATCTGTGGTGAGTCTCAGGGACAGTGTGTTCCTGGGTGGCATCTTATCACCTCTGATGTAGGATCTGATACCTGTAGGACTCTAATCAATAGTGACATAATAAATCAAAGTCTGGATTAACCCAGGCCCCTTCTTGGTCACAGTGTTTTCTGCTGTAGGAGAAGCTGAAGCCAGGGTACCTGGAGCAACTCCCTGGGATGATGAGACTCTACTCTGAGTTCCTGGGCAAGCAGCCATGGTTTGCAGGGGACAAGGTAAAGGGGAGGGGATGGGAAGGAGGAGTTGCCATCCTTCTCAGGTTACCAGATTCCAGCACCTTCACCCTCTGCTTCCTGCAGATCACCTTTGTGGATTTCATTGCTTATGATGTGCTTGAGAGAAACCAGTTATTTGAACCCAAGTGTCTGGAAGCATTCCCAAACCTGAAGGACTTCATAGCTCGCTTTGAGGTGATGCTCTGAATCCCTTTTCTTCTTTGATGGCCATTCTCGCCCCCTCCACCTCCGCCATTTGCTTGATAGGTCCTTAGTTCTGGAACTAAAACTAAAAACAGCAAAAACATCATTTACTGAATGCTTGCTTTCCTGCAGGACATGCTCAGCATCCTTATCTAATGGGTAAAACTTATCATTACAACTAACATACAGGGCAGATTGAATTATGAGTCTCATTGGATAGATAAGGGAACGGACCACAGAGGGTAAGTCACTGATTAGCAGAGGTTGTGCCCAGCTCCCCATGAGTGTCTGGCTTCTAAGGCCATCAGGCCTTGTGCTGTCTGGCTCACTCAGTCCAGAATGCTGCAGAAAAGGCAGAACTTGGCCATAGTGTGTACGCCACAGGCATTAAGAGGAGGGGGCAAGGCAGGATTTGTGTGAAATAGCCACGTGTAAACAATACTCACACTCGATCTTTGGAACGTGCCAAACCCCAGGGATGTTTTTGGTGCCAGATTTAAGAGTGTATGCTGGCCCTGTTCAAGGTTTTAGCCTAAAGCGTTGTACGGTGTGGGGGCCTTTCTTCCCTTTCTTTTCCTCTCTTGTCTCCATGACGCCATTTCTACAATGTATTCATATACTTATTTTCACTCCAATTCACTGGCCTTCTCCTCTGTGAGGCTCAATGTCAGGCCCAAAGAGACATGGAAAGAACTCCATTCAGAGACTGAGCTTAGCAGAGAGCAGTGGGCATAGCAGGCGTAGTATCACCTGGGTGCTGGGGGTTGTGGCTCAGCCCTCAGTGCACATGCTGGTCATGCCCCTGTCCCCAGAGTCTACTTCATACCCACAGAATATTCTCTCAGAGACTTGGGGACTGCAGGCATTAGCATAGCAGGTTTGTAGCCTGGAATCTTCCCCCTATATCAAGCAGTACATCTTCTCAGCTAGTTTCACCAGCTCTGCTTCTGGCAATGACACAGTGGCCTTGGAGTGTACCAGAGCTGGCTGTGGCCATGGGAGGGAAGGATGGAGGAGCTGAGAGCCTGCAGCCTGCTGCACCTGACTCCTTGGTTAGAGTCCGCTCAAGGTCTCTGAACACTGTGGAGAGTATATGAGCAGGCTCTCCTGGCAAGATGGAACAAAACGCTCCTAGTGTCTCTTGGCACGGTGCTTTGTAGCAGGGCTGATAGGAGACAGCTTGGGGGCTCAGTGAGATCGGTCTGAGGCTCCACACAGACCAGGTTGGGCCTCTACCTTCAGGAGAGCTATTAGAGCTGGCTCAGGATTTCCAAGCTGCCCCTCCTCCCCTTGTGCATTTCGTGTAAGGTTTGCCAGGCCACTGGCTCAGGGGTGGGCTCTCTGTTCGGCTGCACTGGCCTGTTCTAGATGTCCTTGTCCTCTTACAAGTAGTTTCTGTGTGAACCAGCAAAAACAAGTTCCCTGTAAGAAAGGATCATGTCTGTCAAGGCAAGCAGTGACAAGCTCTCTTGTGGGAAGACTGGAGGGAAGAGGGCACAGAATGGGAGCCCTAGGTTCAGGCTGACTCCTGTTCCTGTTCCATGGACTAGCTGTGTGAGCAGGAGGAAGCTACCCAATCGCTCAGGAGCTCAGCCTCTTTGCTGACATGTAGGCACAGTGAGCCTGATCTTGGAGGATCAACTGAGTTTTCTGAGCATATCATAGTTTATTGTGGGTACAAAGCCTGGAGCACAGTCTTTATAGGAAACTGAAGAGTTCCCTCTCTAGACCTCGAGTCCTAGAGCCTACAGGAAAAGCTGTTTCTAGAGAGGGATTGCTGAGTCCAGCGAAGCCACTGATTTGAGCCCCTGCTCTTTCCTCACTCACAGGGCCTGAAGAAGATCTCTGACTACATGAAGACCAGTCGCTTCCTCCCAAGACCTGTGTTCACAAAGATGGCCATTTGGGGCAGCAAGTAGGGCCTTGACAGGGTGGAATGTATGATAAAGATTTCAGATCTCCTTGGTTTGCCAGTAGCCCACGGAAGCAATCAGAACCTCTGCAGCCCCAGAGCCTCTTTTCCTCCTTCCTTCTTTCCATCCTGTTGCAGCAGATCCCAAGCTTCACCTGCTCTTTTTTTTTTCTTTTCCAATCTTTGCCCCACACAGGCTCTTTAAAGCCTCCAGTGACCACTTTCCATTAGCAAAGTAGCCTTCTAAAGCTAAAGCACCCGTTACAGGCTCCTGTGTCTAGATACTTGGTTCCCAACTGCTATTTTGGGAAATTGTGGGCTTTCTGGCAGGTGGTGTCTAGAGATAGTAGATTGCTAGGATCATAGACTTTGGCCACTGTAGCCAAGCCCCTCTTGTGCTTGCTCTGTTCCCTGAGAAGATCTGAACAAGGTGTGCCATGACATCAGCACTTATCACTACATCTATGACTCAGTCCTGCCACCTGCCTTCCCTGCCACTTTGAACTGTATCTCCTGAGCCATGAACCAGAATAAACCATTCCCCACCTAGGTTTGTTTGTTTGGTATTCCGTCACACCAACCAACAACTTGTGAGAAACTTGATTTTAAGGGATTCGAAACCCCCTGTCGATGACCTTCCATACTGAAGGCTGTCACTTTGATCCTTCTGAGGTCTTTAAGTCAAAATCCAGTGGGGCGATCTGTCATGTGGTCCTTCACAGCCTTTTATAGACATTGTTAGCATAAAACGTTGTCCTCTCACATTCCTCCTTCACGGCTCTTTATTTGCATCACGGACTCCTGAAGCGATTTGAAACTACACCAAAGAGAAGGCTCTAGGAGCTTCCAGATCTCAGTGATTCGCAGCTAGGGTTCCAGAATGAGCTGGTTTATGGGTTCAGGCCAGGCTCGGCTGGGAGAACATGGCTACTCAGCAAAGACCACTTATCCAAAAACAGTATATCCAGAAAGATAACTTGCAAAACTCATCAAGGATTGAATGGGCATTTCCTGTAAGTGAATATCCAAGCAGCACCATTAACTAGCAGAGTCACTGGGGACATGGGAATATCCCAGCACAGGCCCTCTCGAATGGCTAGGATCCAACAGGCTGACAATAGCTGGTAATTTATGAAGGAATGGAACTTGTGTATTGCTGGGTGTGTAAACACTTTGGAATGCTGACAATATCAGCTAGTGTTGGACAGTTGGTGACCTCTCACCCAGGACTGTCTCCCAACAAGAATGAGCGCTTTTGTCTTCCAAAAGCCATTAAAGACTTTTGAGAGAATGTGGGAAACAGCTCAGTTTTCAGTTCCATCAGCAGAAAATGAGTAACTAAAATGTAGTTTATTACCATAAAGCCATTATCGTATAATGAAACGGTATATTATAATTTAATATAGGGATGATTCTCTACATCACAGTGTGAATGAGTCTTGGTGACATAATGTTGACTAATGTTGATAACGATTCGGACATGCCGAAATTGCATTCTTCATCATTCCCCTGTAAATGGGAAGCATGATTGGGTCAAATGCTTTGACTTTGGCAGGGTCATTTACTGACAGAAACTTGTTGGAGTGCTAAGGATTATTCCTTATCCAGATTTAGATGGTAACTACATGAAGAATACAGATATCAGACTTACAGATATATGCTTAAGAGGTACACCTTCATTGCATGTGAGTTACACATCGGTGGCAAACATGCATTATTGCATAACCTTGCTGGTCACATGTATTCTGTGCTTCTGTCCATAGATGCCCATGACAAAATGGCATGTATTTCGATATCTTCTTGTTCACTAGTGTGTTAACCTAGAAAATGCTCTGAACATCAAGGCATGGTGATGCATGCCTGTAATCTTAGCGCTCAGGGAGGCAGAGGCAGATGGATCCCTGTGAGTTTGAGGCTAGCCTGGTCTACAAAGCAAGTCCAGGACAGCCAAGGCAACACAGAGAAACCCCGTCTCAAAACACCAAAAGAAAAAGAAAAGAAAAAATGCCCTAAACATAGCAGGAACTTGAACGACTGTTTAGCGACATCACTTCAGATTCTCTTGACTTTTAATAATGTCTGATTTAATCAGGTAAGTCTCATGTGCACAGATGTTCTTGCTGGGATCAGTGTGGCTTGAGTCCCAGGACCCTAGCTAGGGGCAGCGAGGGAATAAAGAAAGAACAGACACATACAGAGCAGCTGGGATTGGGTGGAGTTCTACCAACACTACAACCTGGATCCTCAGTGTGTTTTTCAGGTAGAACACAGGGGTTGGGGGTGAGCTATTCTATGTGAGGGGTCTCTGTAATCAAGCTGCCTCAGGCTGTGAACGCCCAGGAGGAGGAGGACGCTGCGGTTGGTCAAGTGTTCATAAAGACACATACTTAGACTCCCAAGAAAAGCTTTGCCATTCCTCTTGAGACTGGGTATGAGTAATGGCTCTGCCACTAGTCCCATGGGTCTAAAGTCTTGTAGTCCCCAACATAGTTATGCCCATGTGAAAATACACATTCATTCAGGGCTTTGCTCACTCAGAGCTTCCTCTGCTCCCTACAGGTTCTGCTCATTCTTTCTTTAATGTTTTCCTTAAAACACATTGGGGCTGGCTGTGTGGCTCATTGGTAGAGTATTTGCCTAGCACACACAGAGCTAAAAGACAAGACCATAAGCTGTTCTCTCAATCTCTCTCTCTCTCTCTCTCTCTCTCTCTCTGTGTGTGTGTGTGTGAGAGAGAGAGAGAGAGACAGATAGACAGAGACAGAAAGAGAGAGAGGTGTTGTGTATGTGTGTGTGTGATGTGTGCACACTTGTCTGTTTAGGTACAAGTGCTTGTGTGTGAACTTGTGGAGGCTAGAGGTTAACACTGGGAGCTTCTCCTTGTTGTTGCCCACCTTAAGTTTTGAGATATGACTCTGAAGCTCTGGTTGGCTGCATTGGCTGGTGGGTGAACTTCTAGGCTCCTCTTCTCTCTGTCTTCCAGCCCTGGGATTACAAGAGCCCAGGCCACGCCTGCCTTATAGAAGTGGATACTAGGGATCTGAACCCAGGTTGCCATGCTTGCATACCAAGCACTTTATCCAATAAACCATTCTCTAGTCCCTGTGGTGTAATTTTTTTTAAAGTGAGACATATCAGCATTCTGCTTACATATGCATATATGAGACTTCACTGTTTTCTTGTATTCCTTCCTGTAGGTGAAGTACAGTTTTCCAAATCCTTTTCATGCTACTGGGCACCGCTAACCTTTTAGCTTTCATTACACCAGTATGGTTGCCTTTAAATATATTGTCTTCCTCCCCATATTTTTAATGATCCCCAAAGGATACAGTCTGGGGCACAGGGAAAGATCAGTTGTGTGGTGGAGTAGGAGATGAAGTGCCTGTCCTATGACTACATCCACAGTGTGCCCAGGAAGACATGTGGCCCCTTTCAAGTGTCACCAAGGCACTTGGAGTCCATCGTTCCACTTCATGCTACCTTTGAAGTTTATAATGATTCTTTGATGTCTTCCCCCGTCATTCTTGGTTAATTGTTACTGCTTATACTTGTTTCCACTTGATGGATCAAGGCCCATGACCCTCTCTGTGTAAAACTGTTTATCCAACATTTCCCCAGGGCTTAGCCAATCTAAACATTAAACATTAAACACACCACACACACAGATCATTTCATTTTACTTCAGTAGGTGAACAGACACTGACCGTTTTAATTTCAATATCTGAGTTTAACTCCATCACATATTTAACATTTGTTTTCTATCAGGAGAAATATGTATTTTTTTCTTCCCAAAGATAAGAAATTACTATCACTCAGTACTGCCAGCTTTAACCAAAATCTAAGGAAGAGGAACATGGGTGATATACACATTTCTTTAAATTTTCTATTTCATACACAATACATTATGTGTTATGTGTGTGTGATGTGTAAGATGAAATGAAATGTACGCGCTATAATAAAGAACAGGGAACAGAAACTACTAGATCACGTCATACCTTGACAAAATGTTCTCATCTATAAAGTAAACCACGCAATACAAATAGCAGAGAAAGTGAAGGCACCCAAGGGCTTCAATCTTTTTGTTTTATGATTTTCTTTTATAGGATCTTTTTCTTGACAAATAAATTTTATCTTTTTGTGTTTGTAAACATCACACTTTGAAGCCATTTTCAGGAAAGGCTCATTCTTTGGCTTTGCATGCACACCTGGCCTGGAGGAGGGCTAACTAAGATTCCGTTATCTTTAAAACAAGCTTTCCTGTGCTGCACTCACAGCATATATTTCCACTTCAGCACCAGCAGCCAGGTTATAAGAAATCCCTGTCACTCTCTGGATGCCCTCTAGTTTCTCAGGTGGAATAAACTTTTCTCATATATTACTATCTGGTACAATTCCTGCACTTTGTAAAAAGCATATTCCAAGGTACTGGGCAGCAATGTGTTGGCTGAAGGAATGAATTAAGAGCTGCCAGGTTTTAGTACTTAACAGCCGGGGAAGCTCACAGCCCTTGATGCTTCTACAGTCTCTTCCACAATCTCTTCTAGGCAGCATACTCCGTACGGGGTCCTCTTGTGCGGAACTGGATCGAACGCTCTGCGGTGCTGACTGTTTTGATGTTCTTGACTTCCATCAGTGATAGAAGCTCCAGGCCACCCTAGAGGCTAATGGCATAGGAGACCCCCAGTTAACAATTCCCTACCACAGACACATGAGAAATCTTCATGCAAGACAAAAACGTTTCTAGCTGATGACGCACGATGAGTGAAGAGAGAAGGGCATCAAACACCGTGTTCTTTATTGAAAGTGGGCCAAGGCCAGGATGCTCAGATAACGGACTATCTGGAGGGCCACTGACTCCCTCTCAGGCAAACTGGGAACTGGGGCAAACCGGTGTAATCTAGACTCTTGTCTCCTGTGCGTGTGTGAAATCAGCTGTTCCTTGGAATGCTGGTCACACAAGGACAGAGCAAGCTAACAGTGTCACCCTTAAAACTCCTCTCCCCATGGGAATCTATGATAAAGTTAGAACTGGCCTGGAAGAAATGGATAAATTCTAACAAGACACTTGCATCCCCCAATCTGGTTCTCAGACTACTGAAACAATGGACTCCCAGAAACTGGAATTTTCTCCAGGAATCTCCTGCTGAGAGAAGGAAAATGCTGAAGCCTTGGCCAGACAGAGTGGGAGCTTGATTCCCAGAAAAAAGATTTCTCACATTTCTAACAATGTATAGGACCATCTTGCAGGATGAGGCTGAATTGCAGACGGTAGTAGTTGGGAAGGCCTCAGAGCCGGCTCAGCATGCATACAGACACCAAGTTCTCAGCACAAAGCAGATTTATTGCCCTGGAGGGACAAGGTGGGAGCTGCTGTCTCTGCATCAGACAAAGGCAGACAGCAGGCAGCAGGTGGCTCTACAGAGTGCTTTTTAAGGGGAAGAAGGGAAAATCTGTGTTAGGGTGAACTGGTAAATCCTCATTGGACAGGTTAGCCAGTGTAGCCAAATAATGAATTTTGATTGCTGGACCTTAGTGTCTTGATAGTTGGA